TCTGCTTCCTCCACTAGACTATATGCTACATGAGAACAAAGATAAAGTCTGTTTATTCACTACGAATTAGCAGTGGTACTGTGGTTAAAGCATTGGGCTATTAACCAAAAGGTCAGTATTTCAAACCCACCAGCCACACCTTGGGAGAAAGATGTGGCAGCCTGCTTCCTTCTGTAAAGATTTACAGCTTAGCAAATCCTATGGGCCAGTTCTACTCTGTCCTACGGGATTGTTATGAATCAGAATTGACTCAATGGCAGTGGGTTTGGTTTGGTTTTGGTTTAGCCCAGCACTTGACAAGTGCTGTATTAGATACTTGAGAAATATCTATTGAATAAATAATATTTTAAAATACAGGTCAGTTTTTGCCCATTTATTGCTTTGAGTCAAGACTCCGCTTTACTCAATTTCAAGAGGCTTCCCAGTCTCTCTTAGACCAAACCCAACAGCTTCAGCTTGATGACAAAAGTCCTATATTAATTATTCCCTCATTCCTTTCACCTTTAAGTGTACCCCCTGCTAAAGGTAGGTGCCTTTCCTACCTGTCTTCAGAATAAGCTGGTTTATAGCCACTTCTCTGCACTTGCCCTTTTTCAAGCCACAGATCTGTCCCTCCAAATCCTTAAGATGATAGCTGGTGGTGATATTTGCATAATTTCTAAAGATTTTGTGTTTCAGGGGGAAAAAAAAAAAAAAAACCACCACCCACTGCTATTAATTCCGATTCGTAGCAACCCCAGAGGACAGAGTAGAATAGGCCCATCGGGTTTCCAATGCTGTAAATATTTACAGAAGTAAGCAGACTGCCACATCTCTCTCCTGAGGAGCAGCTGGTGGGTTTGAACTATTGACCTTCTGGTTAACAGTCCAATGCTTTAATCACTGTACCATCAGAGCTCCTTTGGGTTTCAGAAGAACACTAAAAAAATTCTTTTAAAAATCCTCACCTATAGAGTGGCCATGACCCAATTAGCAGCTCCCAAATATGATACACAATTATAGCAATTACAGTAATTTTAGGAATTAAAATAAAAGTTGAGAATTTAAATCCATTCACCTTAAGAATAAACTGTACCAAGTAGTCTCTTAATAAAATTAAAATGCACTTAAATTCTCAAATTTTATTTGTTCTTGTATAAAACAAAAAGACTATGATTGAAAATGTGATCACTCCCTGCAGCAATTACCTCATCCATGAGCTCTTTTTTTGTTATCCATTTTAATCTAAATAGTTAACAGCTGTGAGCTCCTATTGGGCTTCCAACAGCACATTATAATTTTGAAAGTTTTCTGTGACCAAACACATTGGGGAAACTCTAGTATATTGTATTACAATCTAACCAAGGGGAGTGGTTTCTAAAGGAGAGCATGGACAGTAGTATCAGGTCCTATAAAAGTCAAAGAGAATGAGCAAAGAAGAGTCAATGTTAGATGACTATTTATATTTACAAAGCATTTGCAGAACTTTTACATACTTTAAAGCATGCAAAAGCAAAATTTAGTACCAAAGATCGAAATATAGTCCGTATTTGTTGTTTTTATGTGTTGTCAAGTTGGCTCCAACTCATAGCAACCCTATGCACAACAAAACGAAACACTGCCCATTTGTGCATCACCCTCACGGTTACCGCTATACTTGAGCCCATTGTTGCAGCCACTGTGTCAATCCATCTTGTGGAGGGTATTTCCTTTTTTGTTGACCCTCCACTTTACCAAGCATGGTATCCTTCTCCAGGAAATGGTCCCTTCTGACAACATGATCAAAGTAGGTGAGACAGAGTCTGGCCATCCTCACTTCCACGGAGCATTCCGGCTGCACTGCTTCCAGGACAGATTTGTTCATTCTTCTGGTAGTGCATGGTATTTTCAGTATTCTTCACCAACACCATAATTCAAAGGCATCAATTCTTCTTCTTGTTCATTGTCCAGCTTTCACATGCATATGAGGCAATTAAAAATACCATGGCTTGGGTTAGGTGTACCTTAGTGACAGCTTTTGCTTCTTAACACTTTACAGATGTCTCTTGTAGCAGATTTTCCCAGTGCAATATGATGTCTGATTTTTTGGCTGCTGCTTTCATGGTTGTTGATTGTGGATCCAAGTAAAATGAAATTCCTAACAGCTTCAATCTTTTCTCCATTTGTGAGAGCATGAGATTATGTTTCTATATAACCACACTGTATGCAACCATTTTTAGTAAGTAGCCATTTGTGCAAAAAGCCTCAGCACGTACTTCACACTTGAGTGCTTTAGTTACTGGAAAAACCACAAAGAGTCCTAACTACCTCATAGACAAAGAGTCCTAACTACCTCATCGATACTCCCAAGCATTCTCCTTAGCAACAACCAATCAGTAGATGGCACAGAAATACCTTACCTAAAATAGTTAAGAAATGGCAGACTAACAACTGGAAAATGTCAACTAATCCTGTAATTTTCTGACTGAAACTTCCTTGTTTCTGTTGAGACCCCTATATGAACCCCATTACCCCTGAGTTCAAGACTCTCAATCCTGAACCGCTGCGTCGGTGACGGTTGGGGGTCCGAGCTCGAGCTTGAATAAACAACCCCTATGCTTTTGCAGTAGAATCGGCTCCTTGGTGGTTTTTTGGAGATTCTTAATCTGGGCACAACACATTTATCATGATGTCACTTATTTGGTCTACTTGTGAGAATTTTTTTCTTTGTGTTGAGGTGTAATCCATACTGAAGACTGTAGTCTTTGATCTTCATCAGTAAGTGCTTCAAGTCATCTTCACTTTTAGCAAGCAAGATTGTGTCATCTGCAAATCGTAGGTTGTTAATGAGTCTTCCTCCAATCCTGATGCCCCATTCTTCTTCATATAGTCCAGCTTCTCAGATTATTTGCTCAGCATACAGACTGAATAAGTATGGTGAGAGGATACAACCCTGATGCATGCCCTTCCTGATTTTAAACCATGCAGTATTCCCTTGTTCTGTTTGATGATTGCTTCTTGGTCTATGCACAGGTTCCTTATGAGTACAATTAAGTTTCTATATATAATTTAAAAAAAAAAAGCCATAACATCATGCCTGCTGTGAATTCATGTGATAAATTTGCCAATGTTGTATGAACCAGAGTATAAGGTGAAGAATAGAAACTAATAATAATAGCAGCTCTCATTTATGGACTGTTTACTATGAGCAAAGTACTGTTCTAAGGGCTTTTTGTATGTTGTCTCATTAACTACTCACCCCTACCCAATGGTGGTAGGTACTATACTACATGGAATCAGGGGTACTTGCCATTTCTGTAGATCAAAAATGGTCAATCACCAGCAATTTCATGTGGTTCAAACTATTATCTGCCCAGTTGGGAGAAAGTGAAACAGAACAATACTAAGTGATTTGTCTAAGATAAAATAATTAGTCAGGTTTGCAAGTCATATCAGCATCAATATTCTTGACCAATATGCCATATAATAGGAACTCTGGTGGCATGTGCTTAAGGCATTTGACTGCTAACCAGAAGTCTGGTGGTTCAAACCCACCAGCCACTCCTCGGAAGGAAGATTGGGCAATCTACTTCCGTAGAGATACCACCTCGGAAACCCAAGGAGGAGTTGCTATGCGTCAGATCTGACTCAACGGCAGTGAGGTTGTTTTTTGTTTGTTTGTTTGTTTGTTTTTAATGCTATATAATTTCCCAAACAAAGAGGTAGGTCCAACAGTTTAGGAGGTGTAACATAGCAGCGATCACGAGGATGGCACAGGACCTGCCAACATTATGTTCTGTTACAGGTAACGTCGCACGAGCCAAAGCTGACTCAACAGCAACTAACAACAACCACCCATAAGCCATAATTAAACATTATTTGCAAGATATTAGAGAGTAGACAAGTCCAGAAAAAATGACACAGCACATTCAGCATAAGAATCAAATGTTTACATTAATTAAACAGCTCATGTTTGTTCTTGCTTCTGTGATGAACTTTCCCTTCAATGGACTCTTACTCATCTTTCATTCAGCCAACAAATATTTACTAAAGATCAGGCTCAACTGATAAGCTCCTACTAGAATGATCTTTTTCATGTCTCCCCTAATTCTTACAACTGGAATTGCAAACGCACGCGTTATAATAAGAATCCCATTTTGCCTTTTAATATAGCTGATTTCCCCTCCTTCCCCAAAAAACCGGAAGCTTAAGGAAAACTTAATAAATGTTAATTTGATGTCCACACCAAGTCTACCACATGTGAAATTTAATAAGAGTAAAGAAATCACAGTGACCAAGGCATCTGACTGCTAACCAGAAGGTTGGTGGTTCAAACCCGCCAGCCACTCTGTGAAGCAAGTCTGGGCACTCTACTTCCATAAAGATTTACTGCCTTGGAAACCCAATGGGGGTCGCTGAGTCCGAATGGACTCCACCGCAGTGGGTTTGGTCTAAGAGAGGTGTTAAATCTTTCCCTGATCTCACTTGCTTCAATGCTCTCTTTAATGTTAACTCATCTGGAAACTAACTGCCCCATGATGTTTTTGTATTAATAAAGACTTAACTTTTCATATGATTGTCTTGTCTCTGAAACTAAATTTAAGCTTCAAGTCAAAGATTAAGTTTACTCTCTGACTTCACACATTGTTCAGCACATAGTTAAAATCAATAGATATGTGATTAATGACCATGAAGAAAAATTACCAGTTTGGGGGATAATTTCTTGAGGAAGGAAATGAACTAAGAGGTAGCAAAGCAAGGGAGAAGGAATAGGGCGCTTGTGCTTTTAACTCTTGCCGTGAGCACAAACTCACCTGGCATTTTAAAGCCTTGCTTTACGCTTTCGCTGTCTTTTTAAAGAGGTGCGTAAGAAAAATCATCGGCGTAACCGCCCATTGGCTGAGAGGCAAGACAGCGAGCGCGGGTTGACAGCACTAGGTGGAAGTTGCGTCGGCCGGCGTCGTGTCTTCTGACCGACAGGGGGAGCCCTGCTGAGATCCGGGCTCTCCACCGCCCCAACCCGCGCGCCCGTCACTCTCTCGCCCGCCGGGTGCCACGCCCGCCACAGGCCAAGGGCCAGTCACCCGCGGGGCCGGCGTCCCGCAGCCCATCCGCGGCCCCGCCCCTGTCCCGCCGCGGGCTAGGTAACGGTTACGAAGCACTTTTCCCGCTGCGATTTCTGCTTAGTCATTGCCTTCCAGGAAACAACTCCCTCGGTTTGAAGCCAACTCTCCTGCGGCGGGACCGCAGTACCAGCATCCACAGCCACCAGCGCCTCCCTCCCGGACCGCTCTTCCCCGCCGCTACCGCCGGGCCTCCCTCGGGCCCAAGTGCAGGCCGTAGTCCGGCCGCGCGAGGTCGGCAGCCTCACGCTCGGCTCTCCGCCTCGGGCATCCCGTCCAGCGGAGCGGCCGCCTTCTCCGCTCGCTCGCCCGCGGCTTCGTCTCTGCTTCGCCCCCTCGGGCCGCTGCTGCCATGGGCACCGACAGCCGCGCGGCCGTGGCGCTCCTGGCGCGGGCCCGCACCCTGCACCTGCAGACAGGAAACCTGCTCAACTGGGGCCGCCTGCGGAAGAAGTGCCCGTCCACGCACAGCGAAGAGGTGAGGGCCGGCGAGCGTTGCCCGCGGAGACGCGGAGGACGCGGGGCAGGCCTTGGGCCAAGCGGGCGGATCCGGAGGCTGGGCCAGTGGCCGGGCTTCCAGCGCAGCCCAAGCGCTGAGAGAGGCGCGCACCTGGACTCGGCCCACCTGGGGTCGGTGTCGGCGCGAAATTGGATCCAAACCTGCTGCTGGGGATAAAGCGGCTTAAAAACTTGGCAGGGGCAGCTTCACACCGAGTGACGCCTGTAACAATGTTCACGGCTGATATCAAAACTCTCTAACGTATTGTATTACTGTCATCGGCAGTGGGGTCAGAGAGGGGCAGCAAATCGCTCCATCCCTCTCCCCGCATCTCGCTCCCTTCCCACATTGTCCAGGTAAAGAATTATTCTAGCGGTTAGCTTTTGTTGGACTCAGATGAAATAATATTAATACATTTAACTTTTAGGATATTGACAGTAGTTTTTTTGTTGTGAGGCAACTTAAGACACAAAATTTGCTTTGGGAAAGCAAAAAAAAAAAAAAAAAGTACTTGGCGGAAGAATAATATAAATTTTATTTACCTAAAGGCTAATTACTAATTTAAGACATCGAAGATTAATCTGGAATTACGCGCTTATGTATTAGTTGGTTGTTCATGAGTAGTCAACCATTGACCGTGCACAAGTAATCGCTGACGCTTAATGGTGATAGAGGAGCTCTGGTGGCGTAGTGCTTAAGGCATTTTGCTTCTAACCAGAAAGCTGGCGGTTCAAACCCACCAGCCACTCCTCGGAAGGAAAGTTGGCCAATCTATTTCCATAGTGATACCGCCTTGGAAGCCCAAGGAGGGGTCACTATGAGTCGGATTCGACTCCACGGCAGTGCATTGCGTTTTTGTTACTGGTGATAGGGACATTTTTAATATGAAAAATAGTTATAATTAAAGCAAACCTTTAGGGCTCTAGTGCCTAGGTGGTACAAAAGGCTAAATAGTGTGCTGGACTTTAACTGAAAGATTGGAGATTCAAGCTCACCCAGATGCCCGTGGAAGAAAGGCCTGGCCATCTACTTCCAAGGAAATCAGCCATTGCAAACCCTGTGGAGCAGTGTTCTACTCTGACATGCATAGGGTGGCCATGAGTTGGAACTGACTCAACGGCAACTGGTTTGCTTTTTAATTTAGGAGCTTTGTGACTTTGAGAAAGTTAACTGCTTAGAGTCTGTTTACATAGGCTTAAAGTTGGATAATAGCACCTCTCTTGTTAGGTTATAAGGAGCTCTGGTGTCACAGTGGGTAAGGTATTTGGCTGCTAACCAGAAGATTGGTGCTTCAAACTCACCACCAGCTGCTCCATGGGAGAGAGATAAAGCAATCTATTTAGTAAAGATTTACAGCCTTGGAAAGCCAATGGGAGTTGCTATGAGTAGGAATCTACTCCATGGCAGTGGGTTTGGGTTTTTTTTGTTATTGTTGTTGGGTTTTTTTGGGGGGAGGGGCAGGGGGTTGTCAAGTCTTTGTGAGGATTAAAAGAATATATTAAAACGCTTACCATACAGGCATTTATCTCCTTTATCATCTCATTCAATCAGAAAGATCAAATAAATCTTGATTAAAAGAAAAATCCTAAACTGTTTCATTATAATGTACCAGCTGTTTTCCTAGGCAGTTTCTGCTCCTTCATAGAATATGTATGTGGATAATAGACTCTGTGGCAGCACATGACATCCCCCCCTCCAGTCTGTGCTGGACCTGGGCCTGGGCCTGGGCCTGGTGTTGGACTCAGTGCTCCTTTAACAGGAATCAGAATGCATACCTTATTCTGTGCCCAGGTTCCATCTCAATTTGTATGTTGTTTTTTGTTTTTTTTTTTTCCTAAAACCACTCACTTTAACTATTCTCTTCCAAAGATAAATATTTCTGTATTTAGAACCTTAATTTCTGCCAATGGTGATGGGTCAGTACAGCATTTTGCATGTATTTTGATAAATACTGAGTGAAATTTTCTCTCTTACCTCTCTACAACACACTCTGCACTAGTGACATTCAAAGTTGGTTTTGCCTTGTTCTTTAACTGCAACCATACTATACATATATGAAACCCAAGTTTCAAATACACACACAAAAATAACCCTTACTATATATACTGTGTATTCTTGTTTTTTCTATTCTGTTTTTAATGTGATTTCTCAATGCAGAGTCATGCCACAGTTTGAAAAACATTGTTCAAAGATCTACTTCTGGTTTATAGTGTTTTATTTTGGGTTCTACATATGAGGGTCATAACTACAGAAACAAAACATTAAGGAAAATTTGAAAGAATGTATAGAAAATATGACAGTTTAGTTGGAATAGGAAGAGTATTGTTTCCATGTAAAGAAGAGCTTTGTAACATCCAGAGTCCCAAGGACCGCTCCTTGTCTTTCCAAGGCGGTATCTCTACGGAACTAGTTTGCCCAGCCTTCCTTCCTTCAGAGGAGTGGCTGGTGGGTTTGAACTGCCAGCCTTCTGGTTAGCAGTCGAATGCCTTAGGCACTAGGCCACCAGAGCTCCCACTTAAAACAGTTCAGCTTCATTGCACATATTAAATAGAATAAAAAGCCAAGAAACCAAGCCAATTGCCGTTAAGTTGATTCTGACTCATGGTGACCTCATGTGTGTCATAGAACAGTGCTCCGTAGAGTTCTCAATGGCTGATTTTTTGGAAGTCGATCCACCAGGCCTTTCTTTCAAGGCATTGTTGCATGGACTGAGATCTCTCCACTTTCAGAGCACATTAGCCATTAGCACTACCTAAGAAATCATTCATTATTGAAAAATTTACATATTGGGTAGAATTGTACTAATTTTCCTAAAAAGTCTCTTCTACTTGTAACATTTTTCAGTTCTTTGAATCCTCCCCAAATTTTTTTTTTCACTAGAATTTTATTAAATCAAATATTATTTATTTTGTTTTGCCCAAATCTGTTGTAAGGGAATTTGACCAGCTGAGTCACATGTTATTTGTAAGACTGTTACACAACTCCAGATTTAATGATACAATAAATTGTCATGATACTTATCTTCAGTGATATCTTCTGTGTATGGCAAGAATGAAGAGAGCAGAAAAAAAAGTACAAGTTAATGTTTAGTCAATATAGATAATATGTAACAAATTAAACATCATTAAGTTTGTGATATTAGAAAACCAAACTAATTGCCATCGAGTTGATTCTGACTCATAGCGACTCTATAGGACAGAATAGAACCGTCCCATAGTTTTACTAAGGTTGTAAATCTTTATGGAAGCAGACTGCCTCATCTTTCTCCTGTTGAGTGGCTGGTGGGTTTGAACCACTAACCTTTTGGTAAGCAGCTAAACAATCACTGTGCAACCAGGGCTCCTTTTGTGATATATAGACAATGACTTGCTCGTGTAATTGTAACATTGGACTGTTCTTTGGCTTGTCCTGACATTTGCAGAATCCAAGATTAAAGAAATGGTTTCAAGAAAAGGATGAATACTCTGAAAATATATTTAGCTTCTTGAATTGAGGAATTCATCAGGAAAGTCTTAGTATGCAAACAAGCCATCCTTCCAGAGGAAACTTTCTGAGACTTCTCTTGCAATCTGAGCCAAAGCAAAGTCTTTCTCCTGATAGAATTGTTAACTTCTAGTTGGTCTTGTTGCCTCAATTTTTATGGATTTCAAAAGAATATTGACTTACAATTCTGTCTGTAATAATTATGAAATAATTTTTATCTACTGACTTAAATTTGGATGATAAATATACTTGCCATAAAAATACAGAGCTTGTCACTTGAGTTCAAGTGGATTATTGTGGCTAGCCATATTGTGGATTGTAAATCCTAACATAGATAGCTGTGTGCCTTTAAATTAATCAATCGGTTTCCCTTGTAATTTTCTGTATTATGATAAAAGCAGTTTATAAACTCTATTCTTAAAAATATTAGTTAACAATTCTGTGCCCCATTCTCCCTAAAATACCATTCACCTTATACAGTTGATAGGGGAATTTGTTAAAAACCTTGTCAGCTCTAAGTTCTAAGAGTGTATTACTGTATACTTAATTTTTACTAAACAAAAAACCTCATTCTTGAAATATGTTTTGTTTCTTTGTAAATGATTTTGTGTCTCATAGTTTACTTATTTAAAATTTTTATCAGTACAGAAATACTTCAAAAATAATTAGGCTACTGCTTTAGTTAAAAACATCTGAGAATTAAGAATATAGTTTAAAAAAGTCTGATTTTAGACAGACTAATACAGTCTTATAGTAGAAGCACAGAAAAGTGTAAAGAATTTAACAGTTTCAAAATGCATTCTTTTGCAGCTTCGGGATTGTATCCAGAAGACCTTAAATGAGTGGAGTTCCCAAATCAGCCCAGAATTGGTCAGGGTAAGTGAAATGTGAATGCAGGAATTGTATAGGTCAAAAGAGAAGTAGAGTAAGCAGGAAGTTAATTTTTTCAGTTTTGATAGGAATGTCAAATTAGCTATTGGCATAAAACTCCATGTGGCTGTTTGAGGAGATGGCATCTGACCCAGCTGACTTAAGCATAAAACAGAAAATCTGGACTCTATATAGCCAGCTCTTCACCTTGACAATATACTATCTCTTTGCTTAATTCCTTTCACACTTTCCTTACCATCAGTGCTTTGTTCCAGTTTATATTTGGTCTGGTAGAGCAGTTTTGGTTGGTAGACTGCTTTGGTAGAATATCACCCAATAACATAGTCACTAGTAACAATTTTTTAAATGTCAGTTTCTGATAACAGTAGAAAACTGTGTTTCTTTAAATGTTAGTATCTGACTATTATCATAAATATTAATATACAACACACCTTTCTGTAAACTACTCTTCTGGATCCAACTCAGCTAGAAGCTTGTATCAAATCATATAGATTACTTCAGAAGTATGGAAGAAGATGTGCTGGAAGTATCTGTTTCCCTGGGCATGTTTCCCTGCAAATGTTTAACTATAGCTACTAGGCAGACATTGATTGATATGTTTTATCAATCTGTGTTTCTCTGAGATTACGATTTACTCTATGCATGATTTAGAAACATACTAAGCCCTTGTTATATGCCAGGCATTGTAATATATGTAAGAATTACAGGAGTGGCCTCAGTGCTTATTTTGTTTTAATCTTACAAGTATAAGTAAGCTTCTGATTTATATGTACCACCTTTTTGTCATTTTTCTTATGAATTGTTCATTAAATGCATTGGAATGGCCTTCACTTTTTTTTTTTTTTCCCACTCAAGAAAAACTTTTTCATCTATAAATATTTGTAATTAATGTACAAAGTTTTTCACATGTCATTACCTAGAACGGGTAATATTTATTATTTTTCATTGGTTTCTTTTCTACTATTATGATAGTGGGTCTAATGCCTTACATACCCCCCTTTTTTGGTTACTGTTCTAATTTTGATCTTGCATCCCTCTGAATCCCTGATCAAAGTCAAACAGTTTTTTTTCCCCCCCAAAATGAACAGACACACAGCATTTTATCTTTATTACAAGGCTTTACAAACTTTGTGAAGCCCATCAGTACCTCAAGTGAACCCTGCTGTCTTTTGGGTTCCATGCTTCTAAAGGGAAGGGCTTTATCAATAATAGAAAATATGATAGTTAATCAGAAACATTTAATTTTCCATTTATTCTAAATGTCATATGTTTATTACAGGAGTTTCCAGATGTCTTGGAATGTACTGTATCTCATGCAATAGAAAAGATAAATCCCGATGAAAGAGAAGAAATGAAAGTTTCTGGTAAAGTCCAGCCTTTACAGTTCATTTTGTTGCAGAGTGGAAGTGATACCATGAGGCCTTGTCAGGCATCGGAATAAGCTTTTCTCTGCCTCTGGTAATGAGTAACTCAGTCACTAAGTGCAAGAAATATAAATATTTATTTTTAAACTTAATTGTAATGTCAACTCTTGAAGGGAGTTATAGGAGGTTAGTGTTAGCTACTTCAGAGTCAGACTAGGACTTCAATTTGCTGTCCATCACAATGTTTTTATTAACTTCTGTGGTGGACTTCAGAGTAACAGGAAGATTAAGGTGAAGAAAATAGAAAGGATAAAGGAAAGGCTGTAAGAGTATTGTCCCCCCAAAGTAAGCATAAGCACTTCCTTCCTGGCTGGATACTTGTAACCAATGACTGCAGTCACCTGCAACTGTAGAAAGAAGTCTAGGCAACAAGTTGCATGGATAGAAATGAAAAACATATTATACCCATTCAACAAATGTATTGAATGACTATTCCATTCCACAAACTGTGTCCAGCTTAAGGAGTACAAAAATGAAAAGATGCACTGTTCCTGCCATCAGCTTAGTCTACATCATGTAGTTATGAAACACTTGAGCTCTGGAGTTAGACTAACTAGACTGAGATTCCTGCCTGTGCAGATTACTAGCTGATATAGTCTTCATCTAACAAGTTACTTAACCTCTTTGAGCCTCTTTCCTCATCTAAAAAATGAGGATACATCTGTAAGTTGGATGAAATAAGTCTGGTAAAGCACTAGCACCAAGTTAGTGGTACGTCAGTGGTAGTGGTGGTTGTTGCTGTACTTATTGCTGTGGTGTTCTGATTGTTAGTATTTTTTTGTTATTATCGGATGGACATGTCAGATGAGATAAAGCATTATCTTTTGACTATAATAATAGCTACCATTTATTGAGTCTTGCTTTGTGCCCAGGACTATATTTGCCACTTTATGGTCATATTTTCTCATATAATTTTCAAAACAATCCTGCAGGGATTGCATAGTTGACAATAAAGAAGTTAAAATTGTCATACAGGTAGCTAGTAAATGGCTGAACCAGGAATACAGGTTTGCTTGACTCCAAGACCCAAAAGCAACATTCTTTCTGTTGTTGATTGCTGTTCACCATGGTGTAGATCACTCTTGGCTCTCTTACAAGTTGTCCTCAAGTGCCAATTGGCCTTGAGACTTTCGATAGGTGTCAAAATTCTCCCCATATGAAAAGCTTTCATTTCTATCTAAAAATGCCTCATCTTTCAGAGAGAGACGATCATTTCAGATGGCACAAATTCATGGCCAGAGGACTAGCGGTGAGAAGGATTTTCACAGGGTAATTATGGGAGCTAAGGTTGAGCTCAAAGTGATGGTCTTCTCATCTTGGGATGCTGTGATGGTTTTCAAATAGGGAAGTAACATGATGAAAGCAATATTTTAGGAGATTACTTAGCAGTAGAATGCAAGCGATCAATATAAGAAACATCACTGAGAGAAATTTTAATGCATATGTTAAATGTCAAGCACTTTACATAAAAGTATTTTGCTAGCCCTGTGTGTTCTCTGTTCTCCTTTCTGATTTTTACTTTTCTTGCTCTCCTACTTCCCCAACTGTTGGTCTGTTGAGTAGATTTTTGAACAGTAAGTTTATAACAAGTAAATATTTATACAACCAAAACCAAACCAACTGCCACTGAGTCATTTCCAACTCACAGCAACCTTTAAGACAGAGTAGAACTGCCTCATATGATTTCCAAAGGTGGAAATCGTCACAGAAGCAGACTGCCTCATCCTTCTCTCGCAGAGCATCTGGTGAGTTTGAACCACTGGACTTGTAATTAGCAGCTGAATGCTTTAACCACTATGCCACCAGAGTTCCTATGATCGTATATAAGTTGAGTTTAAATTAAGCCCCAAAGCCTCAAATACATCTAGAAAACTAAGGCAGTCTCCAGGTTTCTAACAAAATTCATTCCTAAGTGTGTCTTTAAGTGGAATTTGTAGGTAAGTCAGAACAGGTGCATACATTTTTTTTAAGTCATACTTTAGTGCAAGAAAAGACTCAAAGTCTTTTCAATGACTTAAAAACTGCATGTACAGCAAGTGAAGGTGATTTTGGTGCAGAATGAGTTGCAAGTAGGGGTTGGTTCATTCGTTTCAAACTGAGGCAAATTTACATAACATTAAAGTATGAGTTGTACATTTGTGAAGGGGACTTAACTATATTCAACTTCTGTGGTAATGAATAAATGCCAAATAATGTTATCCATAGCAAGTATACATTGCACCTACTAAATTAGCAAATATATGTATATTTTAATAATAGCATTTTGTATTGTTAGGAAAGCAACTCTCAACTGTCATTTGAGAGTTTTTGCCTGGGAAACTGGAGCAAATCTTTTGTAAAGTAGGATGGTAAATAAAATAGAACAAGACACACAAAAAAGATGACATCCTTTGACTCATAATCACATTCTTGACAATTATCTTTGGAAAATGATTCACCATAAAATCGAACAAAAAGTTCTGAAGATAAATATGATAAATATGTGATAACTAAAAACTGGAACTAACGTAAAAGTTCAGTTAGCAGAAAATCATTTAGAAAATTATACCCTATCAAAACTATAGAATAATATTCAACAATAAAAATGAGTACATAAGATTATTTCTGAAAAACATAGAATATACAAAAACTAAACAGTAGTTGCTTGAGTGATTTCTGTAGTGAGTGCATTGTTATTGTGATAAAAAAACCTAAATAACTATTGCATAGAAATATTTTTTAAATTACTACATAAGGTCAAACCAAGTAGAAGTAGGAAGAATACTGTACCCTATATCATAGGTTATATTAACTGGGAAGTAATGTCTAGAAATGAAAATGATTTTATTAGGAAGGTGGGACTGTATATTCTTATTTTCCAGTTTTCTTGTCAATACAAAAAATTTTAAAGTTTTGCATATATTTTAATTTATTGAGGAAAGTATATATTGTGCTCCTTAATGTTTAATTCATGCAAATAAAAATTTCAAGTAATTTAAGCTCTTTGTGTATATATCTGACCTGCTTTCTAATAAATGAGAAACTAATATTTAATTATTTATTTGTTTGTTTTGAGAAACAGGTATTTGTTGACAACTGGTATAAATAAGCTACAATGAAAGTATACTCTTATATCATAAAATAAAAATGATTTGTGAAATTATGTGAATAGGAAAGGAAAAATAATTTACTCAGGAATATCTGTCAGCTTAGTATTTTGGCCCTATTAATTCTATTATTTGTAGTTAAATGTATTCCCAAATACAGAATAAGTAATCAGTTTTATTTTCTTTGTTACCCAGCAAAACTGTTCATTGTAGGATCAAACTCTTCATCATCAACTAGAAATGCAATTGACATGGGTAAGCTAACATTTAACTTTTTCATCTTAATACCCCGCCTCCCCTAACCATTGTTATTGAGTCACTTCTGACTGACAGCAACCCTGTAAGGCAGAGTAGAAGTGCCCCACAGAGTTTCCAATGCTGAGATCTTTATGGGAGCAGATTGCCCTATCTTTCTTTTGTAGAGTGACTGGTGGGTTTTGCTGATCTTATTAGCAGCTGAGCACTTAACCACTGTACCACTGGGACTCCTAAGTCCAAAAGCTCATTGCCATTGAGTCTATTCTGACTCATAGTGACCCTGTAGGACAGAGTATAATGGCCCCACAGGGTTTCCAAAGCTATAAATCTTTACAGAAACAGACTGGCACATCTTTCTGTCCATGGAGTGGCTCTAGTGAGTTTGAACCACCAACTTTTCAGTTAGTGCTTAACCACTGTGCCACCTAAGTAAAACAAACAAACAAAAAGCCACTGACCACTGCCATCAAGTCTATTTCAACTCATAATGATACTGTAGGATAGAGTAGAACTGCCTCATAGGGTTTTTAATGCTGTAAAAGGAGCTCTGGTGGTGTAGTGCCTAAGGCATTTGACTGCTAACCAGAAGGTTGGTGGTCAAACCCACCAGCTACTCCGTGGAAGGAAGACTTGGCAATCTACTTCTGTAAAGATTTCCCACCTTGGAAACCCAAGGGGGTTCACTATGAGTCAGAATCAACTCAACGGCAGTGAGTTCAATTTTTGTTGTCTTTTTTTAAAAAAAAAAAAAAATCTTTACTGAAGCAGACTGCCTCATCTTTTCCTGGTGGAATAGCTGTGGGTTAAAACCACGAACCTTTTGGTAAGCAACTGAATTCTTTAACCACTATGCCACTAGAGCTCATTCGGGCCCTAAGTAATTGACTTCAAATTATTATAGGTGTGTTGTTATAACTGCGTCCAGGTGAAACAGAAAATGAGCAAAACTGTAGAGAGTGAAAAGATCAGCAGTTGCCAGAGACTTAGGGGAGGGGGAGGAGAGATGAATTAAGTGGAGCAGAACAAATTTTTAGGGTGGTGAAGCTATTCTGTATGATACCCTAATGATGGATATGTGACATTATGCATTTGTCAAAACTCATATAACTGCACAACACAGAGCGAACGCTAATGTAAACTGTGGGCTTTAGTTAATAATGTATCAATATTAGTTCATCATTTGTAATAAACATACTATGTCAATGAAAGATGCTAATTATTGGGGAAACTGCATGTGAGGGGAGAAGTTGTATGTGAGAACTCTGTACTTTCTGTGCAGTTTTTCTATAGACTAAAAACTGCTCTAAGAAAAAATTGTTAATAGAAAAAAATGAAATGAGCTTGAAAAGAATAGTGCAAATGAGGTAATTCCAATTCCACCTTTTAAAGTTCTAGCCAAATTTCTTTTTTTTTTAAGCCTAATTTCCTTAAGGCTTCTATCAAATTATATTTGAATTATATAGGATCATATTTTGATATATAAGAGGAACATAAGAAGTATAACTAAGTGTTCTCCCTATCATATTCTTAACCCCTTTCCCTTTTAGTACTATAGATGAAATGTCTTCTTTCCCCTAAAAGTGAAGCATTTTACATCTGTTTTCAGCAGTTAATGCTATTGTGATATTATAATTATTCAATTATTTTTCTTTTAAAACATTTGGCCAGTATTTGTATATATTGAAAATTTAAATTATTAGTTCTTGAATCTAATTATGGAGCAATCGATAATTGTTTAAAATGAGCTCTTAGATTGTTCTTGTTTCTCAAGTTAAGAAATAGATTTCTGTAAATATAGATTAAGACTATAAATTTCAGTTTTTCAGATTGTCAAGCATATTCTTTGCTGTGACTAATAGTTACAGATTATTAGGTCAGAATTTATGATCATCCTTATGAGATACTGGTAAGCAAGTAGAACTGGAGAAGATAAGGAAACTACCCCAAATCCTGGGGCTTAGGAAACAAGGAGGCTGTTCTTTAGAAAGAGCAGCCTGTAGTAGCTGGGAGTTCCCTAGAAGAAAGCAGGTCAAAGAAGCCCGTTTGTCTGCCTCACAAAGCAAACAGGAGAATGGGTGCTTAAAATTTTTAAACAATGGAAATGTTCTAAATAAAAGCTTAATTATGAGACTGAATGAAATAATTAGTTGTATAGAAAACCAGTGAAAGATATGGACAGAATTCAGTGGTATGCCTTGGGAACATCTGATGGAGTACTTGAGGAACACAGAGACACTTGTTTTTATTATGTAACCTGTGTTTTTCCTTTTTCTATTTTCTTTCATGTCAGCCTGTTCAGTCCTTGGAGTTGCACACCTGGATTCTGTGATCATTGCTTCACCACCTATTGAAGATGGCGTTAATCTTTCCTTAGAGCATTTGCAGCCTTACTGGGAGGAATTAGAAAATTTAGTTCAGAGCAAAAAGATTGTTGCTATAGGTACCTCTGATCTAGACAAAACACAATTGGAGCAGCTGTACCAGTGGGCACAGGTAAAGGGCAGCCAGATTATAAGCACTCCGGGAAAGGAGCCTGCTCCCATGTTCTTTGCTGGTTGTGATGTTGAACAACATGCACATAGTGGACACTCACTGTGGGGTGATTATTTCAAGCGTGGGACTTTGAAGATAGGCCATATTGAAAGTATTCATTTTTTAAAATATATATACCTAATTGAACTTAATATCAATCCCATTTTAAATGATTGACCAAATAAATACACTAGAAAATGTGTGTTAAAGCATTCATGGCCAATTGAATTGAGGCTGTGTCCTTTAGTTTTACTTATGTATGATAAATTACGTAAGTTTTTCTTTAGTTATTACTAGACAGTGGCTCTAATTCCATAAAGGAATATCATGCATAACAAATAGTTTGCTGACTATTACTTAAAGATGCAAGACTCTTAGTTCATACATCTTGATTTAGAATAGATGGAATGAATCAGTCACCCTTCCCCTCTGGTCTAATCATCTACAGAATTATTAGAGTAGTTGCTTGCTAGTATTATACCTTTACTTTTTGTATTTTTCTTTATTCCTTTTCATTTATCCCCAGCCTTCTCCTTTTCAGAGCTTTTAGAATTTCTTATGGGCAAGAAGACCCTAGAGAAAGTGTTGCCCCTTCTCCCTTGACTTAGTGATAGTCACAGTGTGGCTGGCCAAAATACTGCTAGAGGGACTTAAATGGTCAAGAATATATATACATGAATTAGCCAGCGTGGCCAGTATAAGTTATTTAATTCTTCTTTTTATAAATTTGCCTGATTAATGGCCATATTTTATAATAATTTAACCTAAATGTACTTATCAAATGTATCTAATTCTCAACCTTTAAGATATATATTTCCTCTGTAGCTGGAACAATCACACTTAGAAGCATGTTTGTTTCTCATGACAAATGTATTATACTGGCAGATGGTTCCACTGAGAGACTTTTTACCAGTATAGTACTAAATTGGCTTTTTCCTCACATTAAAGCTATTTTTCTTTTCCATGCTACCACTAGCATGTGTTAGAAAACCATGCGTTAATAAATATATTCATGTAAAAGTACTTGATACACTTTAAGCTATGTAGAATGTGAATTTTCATATGTTCCAAAATTGAGTCCTTTTGTTGCTTTCAGCTTTTTTCATTTGGTAAAATTCATGTAACATAAAATTAACTATTTTTAAGTACACCATTCAATGGCATTTAATACATTCACGGTGTTGTGCAACTATAACCTCTGTTTAGTTCTGAAATATTTTTATCACTCACAAAGCACTTTAATTTTTTTTATAGTACTTAGTAGAAATAAATCATGATTTTATTTTCACTTTTAGGTAAAACCAAATAGTAACCAAGTTAATCTTGCCTCCTGCTGTGTGATGCCACCTGATTTGACTGCATTTGCTAAACAGTTTGACATACAGCTATTGACTCATAATGATCCCAAAGGTAAGGCTGATATTTTCATTTATCAAGATGGATCATGAGCTTTGTCTGACAAAAACCTACTTCTTAAAATTTAGTATTGTGTATGGTGTTAAATGTACAATGCTGTTATCTACAGCTATTCTTAAAGATTAATTGAAAACAAAAAAAAACCTCGCTGCCATCAAGTCAAATCCGACTCATATCGACCCCTCCTTGAGTTTCCAAGGCGGTATCTCTATGAAAGTAGATTTGCCCCATTTCCTTTTTGGGAGTGGCTGGTAGGTTTGAACTGCCAGCCTTCTGGTTAGCAGTCAAATGCCTTAGGCACCAAGCTCTGGTGGTATATAGGGCCTAATGCACTTGACTGCTAACCAGAAGACTGGCGGATCAAATCGACCAGCCACTCCTCAAAAGGAAGGTTGGGCGATCTACTTCCATAGTGGTACAGCCTCAGAAACCCAAGAAAGGGTTGCTATCCAACTCGACAGTGATGGGTTTGGTTTTTTTTTTGGTTTTTAAAGACAAATAAAGATCAGATTTATAAAGATACAAATGATAAAAGGGAATAACAATGAAAACTACCAAAATAAATAAGTAAAAGAGAGAGGTATTTGACTTATATCAGAACCAATTTATAATACAGTAGTTGTTGGAACAGGCCCTGCCATGAGTCAGGGACTACCTCTGCTAAGCCACACAGAAAAAACTTTGTACGGCGTTCCAAATAATATTATATATCACCTTGACTAGTACAACAGAGATTTGATCAAAGAGCTATTTAATTAAATAGAATACTCACTGCCATTGAGTTGATTCCCACTTATAGCAAACCTATAGGACAGAGTAGAACTTCCCTATAGGGTTTCAAAGGCTATAATCTTTATGCAAGCAGATTGCCACATCTTTCTCCCACAGAATGGCTAGTGGGTTCAAACCACCAATCTTTCAGTGAGCAGCCAGTTGCTTTAACCACTGCACCACCATGGCCTCTTAATTAAAAAGAATAAGTATCTAGAAAAAGAGGCAGATAAATTTTAATTTGAAACTTAAACATATGAGGAAAGTGATAATTAAGCATCTTATTAATCATTAATATCCAGGCATATATTTGATGTTAATCAGAAACACTGTTTAATGAGAATAGCTTGTCTGGCTTTTGTAGCATATTTACCAACATTTTATAACATAAGTAGGTGGACTGTGAAGAGACTGTTTAACATAATTTGCAAGATAAATGTTTCATAGAGCTTTTATACTTGCCAGGTATTTTTGGTATAGTTGTAAGTGAGAAATGTCTTATGAAAGTTACAAATTTCTATCACATTTTATAGAAGGTCTAATTTAATAAATATTGGAGGAAGTTGTATTTCACAGATGCTTTTGGGAGAAAAACATTCAGGTTTTACTTTCAGGTCTAAAAAGATAATTATATGATATTGATGGTTTAAAGATTTGTTAATTTCTAAAAAGGCTTATGGATAGCCTATTAAGACTTTATGCCATTTATTAGCAATGTGATCGATCCCATCTCAATTTTTTTCTGTGTCGTAGTAGCTATAGGAGAAAGAGGAGGAGTTTTAATAGCTATTATTCCTTGAATGCCAGACACATGCTAGATGCATCAGGGAGATTATCTGTAATCCTCACAACAGCTGTAACTAGGTATTTTATTAATAATGAAATAGAGCCTCAGTATAAGAAACCAGCCAGAGTCACCCAGCTGACAGAGGGCAAAGTGTGAATTTGAACCTAGATCTCTGACTGGACTGAGAGCTTTTCTCTACCCTACTGTACTGTGTCTCTCAAATGAAAGTTAGTGTTACAGTATTTCAGTCTAAAAGATTTATTATTTTCTTACCTGTTTCCATTTAAATGACTCTAGACTAGGAGATAGTGCCTTTTGTCCCTTTAACCACCAGTAGAGCTTTCACAAGTAAATACTTTTTTTTTAAGTCATTTTAGTGACAATCTAATTGCTATGCTAGTTCTTCTGAAATAAAAAACATTTAAATTTTTTTTTTCCATAGGTTGGCAGATATTGTATCATTTATCTGCTTATTTTTGGGGGGATTTTAGCAGTGACTGTTACCAACAGCTGATGATCCTGTGTCCCCTTCTAGCTCTACTTGCAAGAGCATGATCCTTCTTCCAAAGGAAAGGAAATAATAGGAAAAGACTAAGAGTTTTATTTCCATGTATCTAAATGTTGGCTTTTAGATTATGTGCTAATAAACCATTGTCATGGCAAAATATATTGTGTATATATATGAGGGGAGAGATTTAATCTTTTTTGTCTTGTTTCATTCTAAAGCTTTTGATTAGAATTTATAGGCTGATTCTGGGTATACCATTAGCAAGTCTTGAGACATTTTGATCCCTAGTGAAGTGATGCTTCTCTTAAAAAATGTGTAGTGTTTACTAAAGAGTTAACATAGTTGAATTAATTTTAAAAGTATATAGTTAATGAATACCATAGTTCTCTGATTTTGTATCAGTTTTTTTTTTTTTTTATTAAGCAGTTGAGTTGTAAAACATTTAACACTGCTTGTCATCTAAAATAGAATTGTGTTTATAAATCCTTAAAGGCCTACCTCTGTTCTATCTCTGTTCCTCAGAAAGGGTTTATTTTCTATTACTCTTTGTCCTGGAAGCAGTGGTGACAGGATAACATGAAGTAGGTGACCCTGACTGTAGCACCTTTGCTTTTTTATTAGCCTTATCCCTTTTCCTACTCCCATTTAATCTAATCTGTATTATGCATCATTCCCTCAAGGTCTCCTTCTCTGTTAGACAATCTGTAGACAATCCATGGTAATGTTACTTTTCCAAGGAAAATTTCATCTTTTTATGAAAACCATTTACTAACTGTAGAACCTAACTTCTTCTGTGCCTCATTTCCCCTATAAAGGGGGATAATAGTATCTATTTCATAGGGTTAGCATGTGGATTAAATGAGTTAATACATAGAAAGTACTCAGAAAAGTGCCTGGCACATGATAATAGCTAATACTTACTGAGAGTTTGCTGTTAATGTTATTCAAATATCATAGCAGGTCACCTAGGACAAATGGGCCCTTCAAACCAACATGCAGGGTCCCAATGTGCCGTAACCTAGAGACCATTCCCCAAGGCTTCTGCTTATATACAGGAAGCAGACCACATTACCTAAGGTAGCTACTCAGCTGCTCGCAGTAGATGCCACCATGGAGTTGATTACCAGTCTCATCACGGGGAATACTACATCCAGCTGCCCAGACATTCAATCAGGCCCAGCCAAGTTGACACACAAACTGAACTACCACACTAGGTTACATGTCTCAGCTGAGATCACATCTGTGCGTCTTAGAAGACATAACTTGTGACTGATGCTAGGCTCTGGGAAAAGACCCTTACTCTGTGACAAATTGGTTGTATATCTCAACCAAGAGTTATCTCTCATTTTATAGCGTTCAGGGTGAAAACTATACCCTGTGGCTTATGGACCCAATGGGTAGTTGTTGATGAAAGAGAGAAAGAGCAGGGAAGAAAGGGATTAAGAAAAGAGGCCATTGTGTGGTATGCTGGGGTTTTTACTCCTAGGAACAGATAGCACACAAGGACCCTGAAATACTTCTGCTGCTCCTGCCCATGCCTCTGTCACAACAAAGATCCTAGAGTTCTATACCAATCAAAACTGTCAATCAAGTGAGAGTGCAGCATAAAGACAGGACGTTATTTCAAAATGTGTTCAGCATAAGAAAGAGCACACCATGTGATCCAGAAAACAGGATTCAGTCCCAATAGAACAGTGAAGCAAAATCCCCCCAAAATATACGACACAGTAGGCCCAAGAACAGCCAGACCAAGGCAGAGCCAGGGGTACTGAAGACTCGGGGAAGTAGGTCTCCAGGCAAAAAAGGGTCCAGATCAGACCACATAAATGATGAAAAATATTCAAAGAAAAATCTGTGATAAAAACTAGTAGTGTAAGGAGGGAAATGGAAGGCTTAGAAATTCCAAGGAAAATAAAGGATTATAAAATAAATGAAATAAATATTAATATATTATTTGGTCCTTCACTGAACAGTATTTATAGTGACAGAATACTATACCTAGATACCACCTGGATTTTCAACTTGGGGAATTGGTCTGTGGACAAAAACTGAATACTTCATTGTTGTTTCAGAAGAGAATATAGATAGATATTTGACAACATAGACATGAGAAATCCAGCTGACTTGTTGAAGGATGGAAAGGGTAAGAGAGAGGTGCTTCTCTCATAGGTTAGTGAGTGAAGAGATGCTATTTGAGACTGATGGGATTATAAATTACTATAGGAGAGTTACAAAGTTAACAGAGTTTCAAAGATAATCAGTAGAGGAACTAAAATAGTAATGTAACAGTTGAAAAGAGGAGGGATTGATGATAAAATGAACTAGATTTTTACCTTTGATAGAAGGAAGTCAGTAGATAATATCTGAATGATAAATCAAACAATGACAAAGCAAAAATATGCATAGGCATATTATTTAGAGAGATGGAAATAAAAACCAGAAGAACAATTAAAAGAGTTGTGGTTGTCAGAGGACTATTGCTTTTCATTGTGAGCTTCTTTGGTACAATTTTAATGTACCTGTATTATTATTTAATGTTTTATTAAATATTGAGTGTATCCAAAAAATTCATAAAATGTATTACATTAAAATGTTACATGCATGTATGCAAAAACGGCAAGGAGGCCACATGTTCTGACCTCCTCTAATCTCACAAGAGGAAGACAGGATTACCAGCAGTAACCCAAGGCTATTACTGCAAGGCCAAACATGCTGCCTCCCTCCAGCCCTTTCACCAACTGTTCCTCCCAAAGCACCCACCACCTCTCTCCTGGGTTTGATAATTCGCTGCAGTGGCCACACAGAACTCACAGATTACAGGGTTTATTAGGGAAGCACCAGGCTACAACTCAAGTCCAGGAAGAACGCTCAGTCTCTCTCCCAGCCCACCGTCCCTCAGCCAAGAATCTCTCACAGTCTCTTTCCCAGCAGTGCTGGTCCCTCGGTGTCTCACTCAGCGATGCGTGTCTCTTGCGGCTCTTTCCCAGCAGCACGTGTCTCTTTCAGTGGTGCGTGTCTCTTTCGGCAGCACGTCTTCCTCAACCAGCAGTCAGAGAGAGTTCTGCTTCCAGGAGGCCTCCTTTTGAGCCCGGCAGGGTGGTCAAACTAGCCAATCATAGCATCAGAACTCTAAGCACCTGAGAGAGAGTGGGCACCTCCCAGAACATTGTTTTGTGCCTCTCCCAACAGAAATATTCCAGGTGGACACCTTCAGCAATCAGGAGCTCCTCACTTGCTCATAGAAAATCCCACCTTGGAGTTTACAAAGACTTATGGGTAGAAAAGCCACACAAAGTAATTTACTATACCACAATGTATCACATTTGATACATGAAAAAAAATCTTTTTTATTCCCTGTAAAATGATTTGCTCAAAAACAGTCTCTCAGCCTCTACACTGTTTACATTTGAAGCCAGGTAGTTTTGTTTTTGTTGTTGTGGGGACAGTCCTGTGCATTGTAGCATGTTTAGCAGCATCCCTGGCTTCTACTCAGTAGTTGCAAGGAGCAACCCTCAGCTGTGACAGCCAAAAATGTTCCCAGGCATTGCCAGATGTCCCTTGGCAGACAGATTTGATCCCAGTTGAGAATGACTATCCTAAAAAAAAAATAAATCAGATCTGAGCTGATACATCTCTGTCAAATGGTTACTTTAAATTAGATGTGTTTCTTTTGTTGTTTTTAAATGCTTACCTACATAGTGAAGAGCTTTCATTTCCAAATTTAACAGTTTGTTGTTGGGTTTTTGTTTTGTTTTGTTTTAGAACTACTTTCTGAAGCAAGTTTCCAAGAAGCTCTTCAGGAAAGCATCCCTGACATTCAAGCACACGAGTGGGTGCCACTCTGGCTCCTGCGATACTCTGTTATTGTTAAAAGCAGAGGGATTATTAAATCAAAAGGCTACATTTTACAAGCTAAAAGAAGGGGTTCTTAACTATGACTTATGATCATAACCTATTGACTTTGTCTTTTCCTTGAATATAAGATAAAATTCAGATGTGTAAAAATCTAAATGGTGTCTTTGAGGCAGATATTCTTTAATTATATTTGACAATATGTTGTCTGTCAAGTATTAAATACTTTTCTTGCCTTCATATTAGTTCACTCACATGAACCATTTTATTGTTTTCATTAGTCTATTGTTTTCTAATTGAAATTATCTATAAAGAAAATACTTGCAATATATTTTTCCTTTATTTTTATGACTAATAGAAATCAAGAAAATTGTTGTTAGATATATTTTGGCCTAGGTATCAGGGTAATGTATATACATATTTTTTATTTCAAAAAAAAGTTTCATTAATTGCTTCTTACTTTATAGTATAACTAAGCAATTTAATTACAGTTGTTAAAACTGAAATACTGGAAGATATTTTTCCTGACAATAAAATAATTATATCTTGGAGTAGCTGGGATCTACTAGTAGTGTAAATAAAATTGATTTCTTCAATACATGAATACAATCTTAAAAATTTTTGTGTTCTTGCTTGTAGCTTAGCTATAACAATTTAACCTTGTATCTTTGTGCCATATTTTTTTCTTGCTATTATTTACAAAAACAAACCAAAGTAAATATGAAAAGGATACTAGAAGAATTTGAAATTATTATTTGGAGATTTTATAAAAGAACTACTATCAGCTCCAGATTCTTTTTAATTCTTGATTCATCCCTAATATTTTGCTACTCACTTGAGAATATTCAAGAAGTGTTGAGCCCTTACCATGCCTTGGGCATTGTGGGCTCTGGAGACTGAAGAGGGCACAGTGGGTAGAGAGCCAGGGATTAAGAATCAGTGAAGTAAAATATGTGATAACTGACTAATGGGGACTAAAAGCCAAAAAAGAGTGGTGAAAAGAGTCTTTAATTCAGGGCCAAAGTTGACTCCTTAGACAACTTTGAGATATGGTTTCAACTATTTAAAACCAAAACAATATAAGCAAAATTTTAGAGCTGCAGCAGACCATAGCTCTTATAGTGTAATTCCTTACTCATTTAAGAACCAGAAAATAGCAAACAAGTTGTGGCCTCTAATATATACTGTAAATCTTCTTAATTCTATAAATTTGTATCTATAATCTAAATAGTTTAAAAATTCATTAAAAAGGCATTTCAATTAATATTTTAAAGCCATGAGCCTATATAAAATTAATTTGCTAAGTTTTTTCAGTTTAGGGAAAGGAACTAGGAATGATAGTTTCATATTCAAAATAAGCACACCAGAACCTATTAAAGTTTTTTGGTTTACTAATTGGATAATTTGATCATTAGTAGTATTATGTGAAATTAGCTAATTTACCTACTAACACTTATTTAGATTGTGCACTTCCTAAAGCCATATAGCCTTTATACTAATTGTATATAATGTTATTAAATACTTACAGTCGCTTTTTCATTTGGAAATTATAGCCTTTTTTCATATAATGTACATCTTTAAACAAATGATCATTTTATTTTAAGCCTATATAGTGAAGTGATTGGGATACTTTAAGAAGGAACTCTAACATCACATTTATTGTTTTTTAAAACCCTGGACTTACACAAATGGGTTGTTTGAAGGGTTATTTTGATTATGTTGCTGATGCCAAACTTCAGTAGAGTTCTGTAGCTTTTTTTCACTCTCTCTTGACAAAGAAGCAAGATTATAGATTCATTTTGTGAAAGGGACCATGTGTGGAATTTTTAAATGAGGTGGTTTTTTTTTGTTTCACCTCTACTAACTTTCTGTTATTAAACAACTTTGTTATGTTGTTATGTGCCGTCGAGTCGGACCCAACTCATAGTGACCCTCCCCTTGGGTTTCCGAGGCAGTATCACCGTGGAAGTAGATTGTCCAACATTCCTTCTGAGGAGTGGCTGGTGGGTTTGAACCGCCAGCCTTCTGGTGAACAGTCAGGTGTCTTAGGCACTACACTACCAGAGCTCCCACGTTAAATAATTTTACTGATTTTTATAATTCTCCAAGCTAATGTTCACATCCTGTTTCCCTTTTTTTCATGAATTACCAGAATATAGTATTTACTTCTCAAATATTTAAGGATTTAATGTTTTAAAGCCATAAAATAAAGAGTAATACTGACAAATAATTGCTTTAAACTGAAAGCTAAGTTATCAACAGTGTATATGACAGTTAGTTTGCTGGGGAAATGTATATCCAGTGACCAAAGTAGAGATCATTGATATGATTGTATTTTTTCCAGTAAACACAAAAAGAAGCTGCAGCTTGTTAATACATTTTGAAAAAACACTAGAGCCTTATTTTAACAGTGTACTGTATTTTGGGATTTGTTTTATGATGATTCTGTCTTGGATTTCTATCCAGGAAACTATGGTCACCAGAGGGAAAAAGGTGTCTTATAAAATATATTAACTTGGTGTAAACTTTGAAGATCACATTGTGCCAGCACACAAGAGGGTATTTATTTAGGGATGGCCAGTATTCAAATTTGAATCACACATAACCAATACCTGTTGCCATCAAGTTGGTTCAGATTCATGGTGACCCCATGTGCTTCAGAGTAGAATCTGTGCTCCATTGGGTTTTCAATGGCTACGTTCTTTTGGAAGTAGATTGCCAGTCCTTTCTTCTGAGGTACCGTGGGTAGCTTCTAACCTCCAGCCTTTCTTTCAGTTAGTAAGCAGCCCAGTGCTTAACCATTTTTACCACCCATGCACTCCTTGAATCACAAATAATGGCTAACAATTTTCAGTTCTCAGAAGGTCACTTGGACAACAGTGTAAAATGAAAAATAAAAAGTTTCGCTATTTTATATGAATAGTTCAGAATTTTCCATATCAGAGCAAAGTAGAAGTAGGATCATATTTTTCAGGAATTAAATATCATTGCTGCCAAGTTTATTTTAATTCATAGCAACCCTATAGGACAGAGTAGAAATTCCCCATAGGGTTTCCTAGACTGAAATCTTTACAGGAATAAGTTGCCAGTTCTTTTCTCCCACTAAACCATTGATGGAGTTGAACCACCAATCTTTCCATTAGCAGCAGGCCACTTAACTGCTGCACCACCACTGCTGCTTATTAAAGGGTCTGAGGCTCATTTAATTATGTCTCCTTTCATAACATTTTCTTTCTAACAGTTCCACCCAGTATTTTCCATATTTGGGAATATAAGCAATTGACATATTTATTGTATATCCACTGACAATTTATCTTTCTACCAAATGTACACTTAGAGAAATGTGAAGTTGTTTTAATGAGAATTTATAACATTGTATCAATTGTGTTTCCATACTAATTAATATACAGTATACCAATTTATGATTTTGAACCTGTTTTACTCATAGCTAGCTTCCTAATGTACCAGAAGTCATGCCTGGCTTTTTACCATAAAGTTAGTGGCGGGCTGTGTTGGTTTTATTTTTGAAAAGTAGGTAACATGGCTTTCATATTATTTTTCTAATTTTCAGAATTAGAAATACACTTAGAAGGGGAAATATTTTAATTTGATAATTCTAATTTTTGTTATATATGTCTAGTGTTGTACTATTAAAACAAAATATAAATCATTGTTAATAAAATATAAGTTTTTAATTTTACCTATATTACAATTTAAGTTGTGAGTTGTATATTTTTTAAATGAGTTATTTCAATAGATGGAAGAATTATATTGATTTTGAACTATTTGAGCTCAAACCCAGTATAATTTAAAAATAAATTATGAATAATTTTTTTTTTATATCCAAGCCATAAAGATGTCCATGCATTCATTCAATAAACAAGTATTTATTGGGTACCTGTTACGTGCTGGGCATGATGCAAGGTTCTGGGGCTGGATACAGAGATGAAAACTTCAGTCTTCAAGGAGCATGTTGTGTGTTTGGTATTGTGAATTTGGTGAGAGGAGGGAGATCTGTACCTGAACAAGCAATAAAAGGCAGTATCAGTTAGTGATGGAAGTGGTGAAGAGGACTTGGGCCATGTGGAAGGGAGTGGGCTGGGGATTAGGGTAAAGACAAGGAAGGCTTCCCTGAAGAAATGAGCCTTGGAGTTGACTCGGAGGACATGGTGAGAGTGGGTGTTCTGGGCAGAAGCTCTAGTTTGCCTGGTTTGTAAATATGCTACCAAGCATGAAGACTGCAGCCTGACAACCCCTACCCATATCCAGCCCAAGGCCCTGTGGCCTGCTCAGCTCCTGCACATTGCTGTGGTTTTTCTCTCCATTTGTGGCACCTGGATATTTTCCTTTTCTGCTTTCAGGCTAAGCGGTGTATTTTAAGAATGTTACGTACTATCCTTGTGTGTTTAGAGCAGAAAGGCAGGGAAGGCAGTAGTTAGCATGTGCTCAGTTCAGTCTTAGAAGTTCCTTGGCATTAGTGAAGATAAATGAGTACTGCCATTGCTTATGTTCAGTGATAATTTAAAAACTACTTTTTTTTGGTAAGATTTTAACTCTGTATCCTTTTTCCAAAAGCCAATTCTATAAAGCAAAAAAAAAAAAAAAAAAAAGTTTGGATTACTTTCATTTCTATTATTATTATTTTACCTTTACTATTTGATTTACTGTTTACTGTTTACCATTACTATTGACTGAATGGAGCTCTGGTAGCATAGTGCCTAAGGCACCTGACTGCTAACCAGAAGGCTGGCGGTTCAAACCCACCAGCCACTCCTCGGAAGGAAGGTTGGGCAATCTACTTCCGTAGTGATACTGCCTCGGAAACCCAAGGAGGGGTCGCTATGAGTCAGGTCCAACTTGATGGCACATAACAACAACAACAGCATTGACTGAATAGAGTTTTACAGTTTCCCAGCACTTAACATAGGTGCACATTCAGTACATTCATTTCCATATCAACATAAGATGCTTGAGAATAGAGAATACCTGATCAGGTGATGGCAGCTTTTTGCTATACTGTCACCAGCTTTCTCCCACTAATTTAAATGTAATAGTTTATATCTAATAATGCAGAATGATTGTGAATAATATGTAATTTTAGATGGTCTGGGCGTTAAAATTCTTATCTTTTTGGCTAATGTCTAAAATTCCAAAGAGATCCTTCAATATAAGTTTGTACTTGGTAAAATACAGACTATCCAAGGAAAGTTTCCCTTTAGGCCTGAGCAATAAATACTGTGTTTTTATACTATATTTATCCAAAATTGGGTATACTGTATTTACCCAAATCCCCTTCAGATAAATGAGGATAGGCATAGAAGATAGAGATAGGAAATGAGGGCAGGCTTCATAAGCCCATGAAAGACACAAACAAAATAACACTATTATTTTGCCTGTGATCAGGACACCTGTTTATAGTAGACCAAATATGTATGAAGATGTACTGAAAAATTTAGTATTTTGTTTATCTCTTGACCTTAGATAGTAAATACTTTGAAGAAGTGATTTTATTGTTTTTAAAGAGGTCATGCTTGCAACTGTATTAACCAAAACCAAACTCACTGCCATCGAGTCAATTCCAACTCAAAGTGACCCCTTTTTGGGTTTCTGTGGTGGTGAATCTTTATGGAAGTAGATTGCCCAATCTTCCTTCCATGGAGTGGCTGGTAGGCTTGAACTGCCAGCCTTCTGGTTAGTAGTCAGATGCCTTAGGCACTATACCACCAGAGCTCCATTTTCTAATCTCCCAATACTCTATACTCCACTGTCATATAAATTTCTATTTACATGCACTTATTTGTTGTAGAGATTAAATTATTTCATACATTTAAAGGAATTAGAGTGGCATTTAGCATATAGTAAATGCTCTATGCTATTATCATTGATGTTGTTACTCTCTGCTGCTTGATCTCTACTGTTGTTGCTGTTGTTGCCATGGAGTGGATTCCAACTCATGGCGACCCCATGTGTGCAGAGTAGAACTCTATAAGGTTTTCAAGGCTTTTTGAAGCAGATCGCCAAGCCTGACTTCCAAGGTACATCTAGGTGATTTCAAACTGCCAACCTTCTGGCTAGTAGTTGAACACTTAACTGTTTGTGCCATCTCTGTTACCCACCTCTGATTGGCTCACTTTCTTCCTTCCATGTACTTCTGCCTCTTCAAATCTGGCCTCTTTTCTGTTTGTCTTCTTACATTTGTCTTCTCACAGCTACCTGGCCTGACTAGAATTCCTTCTTTTGCTCTCTACCATGTTCCTCACAAGAGTCAATCTAAACCTTTCCCATTCTTTGGAGCAGATGGTTCACCTACTTAAAAAGATTTAGGTGTAGGGAGCTCTGGTGGCGTAGTGCCTAAGGCATCTGACTGCTAACCAGAAGGCTGGTGGTTCAGACCCACCAGCCACGCCTCAGAAGGAAGATTGGGCGATATACTTCTGTAATGATAACTGCCTCGGAAACCCAAGGAAGGGGTTGCTATGAGTTGGATCCGACTTAATGGCATTAAGTTTGGTTTTGTTTTGGTATCCAAACTCCACTACTCTTTCTTCAGGTTAATTTCTTTGCATTCACATTCTTTTATTTCAAGTATCTTTATTTCATTTCTGCCTCAAACGAAGAAGCATTTCTCCTGTGGCTAGCCACTGTTTTTCTATATTGTTGTTATGTGCCGTCAACCCAACTCATAGTGACCCCTCCTTGGGTTTCCAAGGCAGTATCACTACGGAAGTAGATTGCCCCATCTTCCTTCCGAGGAGTGGCTGGTGGGTTTGAACCGCCAGCCCTCTGGTTAGCAGTCAAGTGCCTTGGGCACTATGCTACCAGAGTTTATTCCATCCTCCGGCTGAGATTAGGCCCAGCTGCAAATAACAGAACATTATCAAATAACCAACCCATTGCCATAGAGTTGATTCTGACTCACAGCGACCCTATAGGACAGCATAGAACTGCCCTACAGCTCCACGGCTGTAAATCTTTACAGAAGCAGAAAGCCTTCGCTTTTCACTCAGAGTAGACTGGTGAATTTAAACCACCAACCCTTCAGTTAGCTGCTGAATGCTTAACCACTGTGCCACCAGGGCTCCTTTATCAAGTGGCTTTTAAAAACAGGTTATGGTAGACTATTCAGGAATGATAAAGCAGCTCCATGATGCTGTCAGGGACCCACATTCCTTCTTTCTCACTGCTCTGTCATCCCTAAAGCTCTTCATGGTACAAAATGGCTGCCTGAAAACCAACAAATACAGCTTTCCAGGAATAAGACAGTTAAAAGTGGCAGAAAGACCCTATATATTTGTGTGTGTGTGTGTGTGTGTGTGTGTGAGTGAGAGAGAGAGAGATTTGGGTGAAAGTTTACAGAGCAAATTCATTTTTCATACAACAGTTCATACATTTTGTTTCATGCGATCCCGTAAAGTGACAGCTCCCTTCCCACTTCCTCTGTGGTTCCCTTTTCCGTGTCTTTCTTTCCAGTGTGTTCTTGCCCTCTGAGCTATCTCCCTGTACAAATACTGCCCTTCTGACCGCCCATGGTTGATTGTTCTAAGGAGTGTACCTACATGGTGTAAATGTTCACCTTATACGCTGTCTATTGTTCGGCCACATCTCTTTTAAGGAGACTTCCTTGAATAACTACACAATTTGTATGTAACTGGCCCAAACCTAATGACTTAGCCACAGCTGGCTGCAAGAGAAACTATGAAAGGAGGTATTTAGCTGGTGGCAGTGTTGTTATTAGTTGTCACTCGATTGAGAGCAACTCATGGCGACCTCATGTACAACAGAATGAAATGCTGCCTGGTGCTGTACCATCTTCACAATTGTTGGTATGCTTGAGTCCACTGTTGTAGCCACTGTGTACTTTGAATGATTTCCAACCTACAGGGCTCGTCTTCCAGCAATACATCAGACAGAGTTCTGTTGTGATACATAAGGTTTTCACTGACTAATTTTCACAAGAATATTAGGCCTTTCTTCCTAGTCTACAAGCTCCATTGAAATCTGTCCACCATGGGTGACCCTGCTGGTATTTGAAATAATGATGTCATAGCTCCCAGAATCATAGCAACATGCAAGCCACACAGTATGACAAACTGATAGGTGGTGGGAGTGGCAGTGTTCCCACTTAAAAAAAAAGTATGTTCTTCTAAAAAAGAAAGAAATTGGTTTTCTGTTACTAAAATAGTAGAGCATAGGTCTGGTGAGGCACTCATCCTTCCTCACCTCCAACAATAAAAAATAGTTTACTTATTTCTTCAATGTCTCCATTATTCTCAGATGTCTACTACCCCTCCTCTTCATCCTAACAGAAAACCAGAAAGCTTAATTCTGGTCATTCTCTTCCTTTCACTGAAAAAAAAAAAAAAAATTGTTTTACAATTTCCTTCACATTTCTTCTTATCCCCAATCTCTACTCATTATCTCCCATTTATACTGTATAGCTTCCTAACTAATCTCCCAGAACTTAATATAAAGCTCTTTACACCAACCAAAGCTTTAAATTTTATTTATATTTAACTACACAAATAATACACATGCATTGTTTTTAAAAAAAAAATTACTGTTATTTGGGTGAACGTTGACAAATTAACTTTCCATATGGCAGCTCACCTATGCTTTGTCTCATGACACTGACTACAATTTACCATAGTGCAACAGCTCCCCTCCCATAGTTAACTCTTCCCTGTGTCCTTCCCTCCCATGTACTTTTGCCCCGCGCCCCCCCCCCCCCGCTGTCTCCCTGTGCATACACAGCCCTTCTATTCTCCCATGACTGATCTCTCCAAGAAGTGTATCTACCTAATGTAAATGTTCAGCTCATATGCCTGTCTTTTGTTTGGCTAGAAACCACAAGGAGCAGGTTTAATTTCAGACCTGAAGGGCAGCTAGGGGCCAGTCTCAGGGGTTCCATCAGGCTCTGTCAGACCAGCAAACCTGGTCCTTTTTTTTTCAATGATTTTGAGTTTTGTTCCACATTGTTCTCCTACTCTATCCAGGATCTCCTACATAGATCCCCCTCCAAGTGGTTGACAGTGCTAGCTGGGCACCATCTAGTTCTTCTGGTCTCATTGTATAGGCTATAGATCATATGGTGTACCAGTCACTTGGACTAATTGTTTCCATATGTCTTTGGTGTTCTTCATTCTCCTTTGCCCTGGACAGAAGAATCCCATTGTTGCAGCTAGCAAGCTTTTAAGATTCCAGTCTCTACTTGCCAAAGTAGGATGTGGAACTTTGCTTTTTATAGTTATGTCATGGCAATTGAGCTTGATGTCCCCTGTGACTGTGGTCCCTGAGCCCACAGGTCCAACTGCTCACGCCCTCTGGGTAGCTTGCTGTGGCCAAGAAGTGACTACAACCTTCTTCCTTGTCAGCTGGGAATTCTTACATAACATACAAACACACTTCCAGAAACACTATCTGCCAACCCTATACATGGTCATGGGCACACTCCCCACTGCATAGACATACCTAACCATTCAGCCTGTCCACCTATCTATCCACCCATAGATCAGTGTTTGCCTTCACTGCCAACACAGTACTATGTGCAAAAGGGTTCATGTTTGTTGTCTGTACCCTCCATGCATCTATGTCTTCCTCTTCCTCAAGCACTACTGTTTAAAAAGTAATATAAATAATACAAGAATCTCCCTCAACCACACCCATGATCAAATTAAAATCTTGGGAATTACTCAACAAATTAAAGGACTGATGGAGAATGAAGCATAAGATGAAATTTTCCAATTCGTCACTGTGGAATGGGAACGAAGGCCTCGTCACTGCAGCTTTTGTCTATCTCACAAATGTCTCTTCAGGCAAAAAGCTCTTTTGCCGCCTACAACGCTGGAGAAGAGGCTAAACCCGTATCCTTCGGGATCGCTAGTCCACTGCCCCAGTCCAAAAAAAAGGATAAGACACGTGGACAAACTCTCGCGATCCACGAGAAAAACTACAGTGTCGCGCTTCTCTGACGTATTTCCGTTGCGTGGAAGTAGAGGGAAGCGTTGGTGGTTGGAAAGCAGTCAGTCGCCGGGAATATGGTGATCACTAGGTCGACGCGGCCTCAGGCCAGTGTCCAATACAGGTCAAGTAAAAGATCTCCGCAGAAGGTAGGAAATTTCAAGTCTCTCCCCTTTCTCCCCGCCCCTTCGAAGAGCGAAGGAGCAAGGAGGTGCAAGGGTCCCGCCGAACGTGAAGATAGCCAGTGGAGAGGGCCAGTTTTGCCGTGCGCTGTTGTAAGCTACCAAACTCCGTGCTAAGCGCTTCACTTGTAGTGTGTCTCCTTTAGTCTTCACTACAGTTCCTACTATGGTACGGTTTAAATAACTTGCTTCGGGTTGTTCAGGCCCTGTAATGCCGATGTATACATAGCTCGAGCCCTGGAACCGTACTTAAAACACCGTACAAAGGACGGTTAATACCGGTCACCATGCAAGAGCGTAATACAAGGAGTTGGAGAGAGGGGCCTCGCACTCCGTTCTTACGGGGTGGGAGGGCCACAGTGATGCTGCCTGTGCCTCTTAGTGGTACTAGTCGTCCACTGCCTCTCGATCGTGCGGGGAAAAGAAACGGAATACCCATTCACTCGTGCACGTAAAGGAAGTGGATAGACCGATACCATCAGTGTATTCCCAAACACGTATTCGCCCAGGCAGTATTAGACCTTCCTTTCTCTTCTCTCTTCCTAGGTGTGGGTTGGGATGTGAGTGCACCCATGACTTGGAGTGGGGAACTTTTTCCTTTTTGAATTACTTGTTTTGCCTCCTAAAGTCAGGAGCAGGACTAGGGTGAGGAGAACGACGTAGGACCCTGAAAATGCTGAGTCAGACTCAGTCTTTATTTAAGATTTTTATTTTCTTCTTATAGCTTTTTGCAATATTATATTTATCCGGATGCTGACTTTTTTAAGTGTCTTGTAAATTTTGCTCCTAAGAGGAGTATCTCACTTTGCCCTATTCCCAGCCTTACCTAAATTGGGTGTTTTCTCTTGCAGAATTCTGCTGGTAGTGGAATTAAAAAGCATCCAGAAAGCATGAAGGAATCTCACCTTGATGACCAAAGTACCAGTGAATCACAAAGCACTCAGAAACATAGCCCAGTCCCTAGAATGCCTAAATCCAAGAGGAAAAGCAAAACTGAAGTTTCATTACCAGAGATGATTGAACCATCTACTGATGGAGAGACTTCTGAAGCAGAGTCAAATTGTTCTTCTGTCTCTGAGCTCCAGGATCCCATTGTAAGGGTGACTAGGAGAAGGAAGATCTTAGTTTCATGCACTCCAATGTCAAGTGTGAGGAAAAGGCTGAAAATAACTCCAATAAGTGAGTCTCATACTGAAGAAGAAGTCTCTGAAGCAGAATCTCATGTTTCAGGTAATTCTACATTTGTACCATCCACAGTAATAACTACAAGAACCAAAAGAAGGGAGGCTAAATTGCCAACAGATCCAAGTCAAGAATCACATGCAGAAGATATTTCTGATGCAGAGTCATCATGCTCAGACATTTCTTCATTTTCAGGAGTTGCAGTTAGGAGAACAACAAGGAGTATGCACAGGAAATTACAGGCACAAACTGAGGAGAAAGATACTAAGATTGTACCAAGAAATGAAAAGCAAAATTGTAAAGGTTTAGATGAAGAGGCCAAAATAAATAATGGAAAAGAAATTAGTGATAAAAGTTCTCAGTTGAAAAATCTTTCTGAGCTTCAGGATACTAGCCTTCAACAATTAGTTTCTCAAAAGCATTCAACTCCCCAGAATAATAAAACCACCACATCAGAACCCTCAAATCTGAACTTAGAGGCTGTAATGAAATCATTATCTCAGACATTTGCAGTAGTGGAAATGGATAGATGGGATGAAGAGAGAGAGAACACCTTAAAAACAAGTGATTTGACACAGTTTGGTGATGATGATGAAAAGTGTACTGTTAAAGGTGTGATTGAAGACATGAACAATAAAAGGAATGTAAATTTTGAATGTGAAACCAAGTCTAGTCTCAACACATCTCAGGATAAAGATGATTCGGTTTTATTAATTCTCAGCAGTGATGAAAGCCAGAAGTCTGAAAACAGTGAAAATGAAGAGGACACCATATGTTTTGTTGAAAATAGTGGTCAAAGGGAGTCACTGAATGGAGACTCAGGAAATATGTCAAGTGACACTGCTTTGTTTGTAATTGACACAACTCCTGGAGTAAGTGCGGATAAAAATTTTTACTTGGAAGAGGAAGACAAAGCTAGTGAGGCTGCCACTGAGGAAGAAAATGAGGAGGGAGAGGATGAAAAAAGTGAAGATCTGTCAGACCATGACAGACATGAAGATAATGAGCTCAGTGATGAAGATGACTTACTGAATAGCACAAAGTCTAAACTGTAAGTTTTACCCATATTTTTAAAAGTAAAATTTGGATGCATATTTCATGAGGCTAATTTACCATAAAAATATACTAGAAATAGAGATGGAGAAAATGACTACCCTAGCTTTTTTTATGGACAAGCTGTTCTACCCAGTATTTTCCTTGTCTCTCTGGATGGGTGCTTTGTTAGGATGTTTTTCTCACCGATGATAGCTCAAAGTACTCCTTTTGGTGATAATACTTACTAGACATTGTAACTAAGTTTTATTCATGATTGTCAAGAGCAACATGAAACCAACCAGTTGCCCTGGTGTTGATTCTGATTTAAGGCAACTTCATGTGTGTCAGAGTACAGCTGCACTCTGTAGGGTTTTCAGTGGCTATGATCTTTCAGAAGTAGATCTCCAGGCCATTCTTTGGGGTACACTTAAGGAGCTCTGCGTAGTGCTGTGCCCAAGGCATGTGACTGCTAACCAGAAGATGGCAGTTCAAAGCCACCAGCTACTCCATGGAAGGAAGGCAGGGCAGTCTACTTCCATAAAGATTTACTGCCTTGGAAACACAGTGGGGATCGCTATAAGTTGAATTGACTCGATAGCAGTGCGTTTTTGTTTATTTGTTTTGTTTTGTTTTCTAAGTAGACTTGAATTAGCAGCCTTTGTGGTAGTAACCAAATGCTTAACCATTTGTGCCACCCATGAACTCCAATCCATATAAAAGGAAAGGGAAAGAAATGGTTTTTGTGCATGTTAATTACAGAGAAACTGAAAAATACAGAAAAATATGAGGAAATTAATCACTGAAATCACCTCATCCATTGAAAAGTGCTAATGTTTGGGGTATATCTTTAGTTTCTCTGTTTTAAATTTGTTTTTCCTAGGCACAGGTTCCTGGGGGTAAGATACCCGTAATTGTGTGTGTGTGTGTGTGTGTGTACATGTACATACATGTATACACATAACATATACTCCTACATACACACACATACATGTAGCCTTGAAAGGAACTATACATTAACATGAGAAGTCTTCACTGTAAACCAGTAAAATCAATGTCTGAAGCTACACTCAGGTGTACTAACTTTTTAAAAGCTACCACCTTCCCCAGGTAGATTCTGCAGATTTGAGAATCCCTGCCAAGGCAGTGCAATAGAATGATTTTACTTTCCAACAGGGGCTGATTAGCTACACACGTTCAGCTGCTTGGTTTATATGAGTAATTAGGAGCAAGTGAACTTACTTATATTAAGAATTGCATTAAAAAGAGCTCTTCAGTAATACAAAGTAGGAGCTTTCATCACATAAATAGAGCAGGAGATCAGGCAACTGCAAGAGATTCTGATTTGGTAGATCTGGGGTAAGATATTTGTGTTTTGGAAAAGTTCCAATTTAGAGGCACTATCAAATGCCTTCATTACCCAGAAAAAACATTCTAAGTTTGTATATTTCAGAAGTTCAGAGTACAAGAACTTGTCTTACTCATTGGTTTTAGAGATGGAGATATGTACATTCATTAATTCACTACCTACACATGAAGTTGAGCCAAATTACTAGAGGCTTCTCTGTCATTCTTTGTCAAATCTGTTGACATATTATATGGCCTTCAAGAAAATCTAGGAAATAAACTTGGAAGTGCTTTTTTTTTTTAATTATTCATGACTTTAGTAATAGATCTTACCAATGACTTTACTAATAGATTTTAAACCAATTTGTACAGAGTTTTTCAGGACCTCATCCGTTGTAAAAATAAGATATCCACCCACCATGGTTGGTAGTTAAAGGAAAGAAAATCAAGTTATTTCAAAATTCTCTCAATTGTTCCCTTTTGATTTAATTACTTGATCTTTAAATGGTAATTTCTCTTTCAGTCTGAAGTTGACAAGCAGCAGCATAGACCCTGGTCTGAGTATTAAGCAGTTGGGTGGCTTATATATTAATTTCAGTGCAGACAAACTACAGTCTAATAAGAAAATCCTGACACAGATCAAGGAGAAAACAAAAAATGAGGTAAGTTATGTGAAACGTCCTTTTATGATTTCATAGAACTAGCCAGTCACTGTTAGAAATGATTCATCTTTGATAAAAGACTCATTTCCCATAAGTGATACCACATTAGCCTAATGTGTTCTTTTCCCTACACAGTATTGATGTAGTGATGTGTATTTATAAGATCTAATCTGTAAAATGTGACATTTGTGAAAAATAAAGTAATAGAGAATCAGTGTTCTTTGGTCCACCAATTATGATTCTGAAAGGTTTGTTTCTTCCCTTTTCTAACTATACTTTAGTTCTTAACTGTTCTGGACCCTGTTGAGAATTTGAAAGCTGTTGAGTGCCCGGCCCCACAAACAGAAAAAAAATGTAAATGTGCACAGAGACACATTTTATGTAAAGTTTCAGAAGGACTCACTGGGTAATGACCTTATCCAAACCCTCAGCTTCAGCTACCACCTCTACACTGCTCTCAAGTCTGTGTTTTTTAGCCTTTAAATTATAGAAGAGGTCACTGTGAGTCGGGTCTGACTCGACAGCACATAACAACAACAGCAACAACATTTCCTGTTCAAGTTGTGGTGGCACAGTGGTTAAGACATTGGGCTGCTAACCAGAAGGTTGGCAGTTCAAACCCACCAGCCATTCCATGGGAGAAAGACGAGGTAGTCTGCTTCTGTAAAGATTTACAGTCTTGGAAACCCAATGGAGGTGGCTGAGAGTCAAAATTGACTCGATGGCAGTGAGTTTGGTTTTCTGGAAGCAAGTAAAATACAAAAAAATACAGAAATCATTTAGGAAAAGATTAGTTGATTTGACTAAACAGTTTAAATAAACAGACAAAACAAACCCACTGCCATTGAGTCAATTCTGGCTCATAGCAACCCTATAGGTCAGAGTAGAACTGCCCCATAGGGTTTCTAAGGCTGTAAATCTTTATGGAAGCAGACTGCCTCATCTTTCTCCAGCAGAGGGTTAGTAGGTTCCAACCGCCAACCTTCTAGCTAACAGCAAATGCTTTAACCACTGTACCACCAGAGCTCCTTAGAATTTAAATAGTCCTGGATTATTAAAAATACCTTAAACAAAAGACAAGAGGCTAATATCACTAAGGTACAAAAATCCCTACAAATTAATAAGAGAACAACCCTATATGATTTTTTATATGAGCCAAAAAGTACAGGCATTCCACAGAAGAGGATATATACATAGCTAGTAGGTACATGAAAAGATGATAAACAGCAAATTAAAAGTAATAAGCTGCCACTGACAACATAGAAAAGATACTACCTAGTCTTGGTGTAAGTATAAAGAAAATGTCACTGATGTACTATTGGTCGGAATTTAAACTGTACTACTTGAATGGCAGACAACTTAATGGTGCCTACCAAAATTTAAATGACACATTTTGGAATCTGTTTTATTATTATTTATAGGAATAATCAGAAGAAGTAAACAGAAATGATATTTCTAAAAATCTGTACAAGACTAGAAACTTAAATGTTTGTCAAAAATTTGTACATAATAGCTATCAGAAAGGATGAAGTCAACCTGTAGCTACCAGAATTTACATTGAAAGCATCTAAGATGTTCTTGAGTTAGAAAAAGCAAATGCAGATTAGTATGTTTGGGATGATATCATTGGTGTAACAAAAAGTATGTGGTTTTTGTTTTTTTTTTTAATTAGAATTTATATTTTGATATCATTCTATTAGTAGTCTATCCTGCTTTTTCACACCATAGGAAGCTGTTTTACCAACATTGAAATAACATACCATTGAAAACTAGTTGGGTTTTTTTAATTTTGTTTTTTTAAATGTGATTTGGGTGAAAGTTTACAGAGAAATTCGCTTTCCATTTAGCATGTCATCCACATTTTATTTCATGATGTTGATTCTAATCCTCATAATGTAACAGCTTTCTTCCTACTTCCTCTCTGTGGTTTCCTTTTCTCTTTTGTCCTTCTTTCCTGTGCATTCCTGCCTCTGAGCTATCTCCCTGTGCAAATACTGCCCCTTCTGATTTCCCATGGTTGATCGTTCTGAGGAGTGTACCTACTCGTGTCATTGTTCACCTTGTAGGCCTGTCTGTTCTTTGGCTGGAAACCACGGTTGTGAGTGCAATTCCAGGCCCAAAGATTGTCTAGGGGCCATAGTCTCAGGGGTTTCATCAGTCTCTATCAGACCAGTGAGCCTTATTTTTTTTATGATACTAAGTTTTGTTCCACATTTTTTTCCCACTCTATCCAGTATTTCCTATTTTGATCCCTTTCTGAGTAGTTGACAGTGGTAGCTAGGCACTATCTAGTTCTTCTGGTTTCAGGGTCATAAAGAATGCGGTTCACGTGGTCTGTGACTTCCTCGGACTAATTGCTTCCACGTGTCTTTGATTTTCTTCATTCTTCTTTGTTCCAGATGAGGAGAGACCAATTGTATCTTAGTTGGCTACTTGTAAGCCTTTAAGACTCCAGTCACTACTCACCAAAGTAGAATGTAGAACAGTGTTTTCATGTAGTATGTTGTGCTAGTTGAGCTTGATGTTCTGCACAACTATGATTCCCTGCAACCATGGTCCCGAGCCTGCGGGCCCAGCAACTCACTTCACTTCCTCAAGGGGTTTGGCTTTGGCTAAGAGGTTATCATAACTTTGCCCCCTATAGCTCTGTTTTATATATATGGACATTCTTATAGCACATACAAATATGTATGTAGAAATATTGTTTGCCAAACTTATATGTTGTCATGGGTATATTCTGTTTTGCCTGCTGAGACCTGATCCTTTAGCCGGTCTACTACCCATAGATTAATGTTTGTCATCACTGATAATGCAGTACTGTGTATGTAAAAGTGTTTACTTTTGTTGTCTGTACCTCTTGTTCACCTCCCTGTGTCTTCCTTTTCCATAGTGTTATTGTACTAGTCACTCGCTTTTGGTATATTGCCCTTCCCTTCACATGAATCAGTACTTGCCTCTTACCTATCTAGCAATTTTCCGTCCCCTCCCCTGCCATCCCTGGTAACCAACAAAGAAAGTTTCCTTCCATATGTAAGCCTTTCCTTGACTTTTCACAGTAGTGGACTAATAAAATATTTGTCCTTCTGTGATGAATTTATTTCACTCAGCATAATGTCCTCCAAGTTCATCCACGTTATGGGGTGTTTCAAAGATTCTACATTATTCTTTAGTGTTGCATAGTATTCCTTTATGTGCCTATACCTTCATTTGGTTATCCATTTATCCATTGATGGGTACTTAGGTTGTTTCCATCTCTTTGCTGTTGCAAATAGTGCTATGATGAACATGGGTGTACATATGTCTATTCATGCCATGTCCTGGTTCTTACGTCTTCAGGAGATAACACCTACTGCTGGGATTGCTGGATGAAATGATGTTTCTATGTCCAACTTCAAACTTTCTAAGGAAGCACTGTTCTGGTTACCTAGTGTTGGTCTGACAAGAATATACCACAAATGGGATGGCCTTAACAAACAGGAGTTTATTCTCTCACAGTTTGGAGGCTTTAAGTCCAAGTTCAAAGTGCCAGGCTCTAGGGATTGGGTGAAAGCCCCTCAACCTTGGGGTCCAGCTCTGCCTCCTACTCCCAGCCCACTGGAGTTAGAGGTATTTCTTTACTCAGACAGCTGCTGGCTACTAAGGCTGACAAGCCCAAGGTTGACAAGTAAAAAGGCACAGTCCCGATTTTAACCAAACCACATGGCAGGCCATTAATTTTAAGTCCATTGTAAGTCCCAAGGTTGGCAGGGCATGGCAGGCTGCTGAGCAACGACACGGCTACATGCAGGGTCCAAGCATGCCATAAGCTGGAGACCATTCCCAAAGCTGCTGCTTAGATATGGGAAGCACACTACATACATACCCAAAGGCAGCTGCTCACAGTAGATTCCACCATGGAGTGATTACCAGTCTCATCATGGGGAATACTACATCCAGCTACCCAGCCACTCAACCAGGCCTAGCCAAGTTGACACAAAAACAACCACCACAAGCACCATACTGTTTTCCATAGTAATGCCATTTTACAGTCCCACCAGCACTGTATGAGAGAGGTAGATGGTCTGTTTCCCCCCCTTCTCAGGATTTCAAGGGCTATTGTGACATTATTCCTGTTTTTATTTTCCAGTTCTTTGGTACAAGTGGCCATTTGCAAATAAGAACTACAAGTGGACACAGTAATATAAATCCATTTGTAGACATTCAGATCAGAAAAGAAGATTTTAGATAGTTCTATTTTCTTGTAGATTCTCTTAAACAGTCCCTCTGCCTCCTAAAACATGTTTAATGTGATTATAATTTCCAAACATAAGGATAGGAATAATTTGTAGTACTATGTTTGCTGCATAAAGCAGGTTAGTATATTTGGCTAGTTTTCAGTGTGGGACATCTTTCTTATAAGTCCGAAATGCTGAAAAAATTGTGTAACATTCTGACATTTTAAAACCAATTTAATGTTTTATAGTTTCTGCAGAAAACCATCATTACACCTGATTTTGAAAAAAACTATAGTGTCCCACCGTACAGAGAATCAAAGTTTCAACTTCAGAAAAAACGAAGAGTAAGTACAGTGACTTTAATAATTTAGAATGTTTAGATGTGTTAAACTGTTGGTTGTACAGCTAAAATTGTATATATACTCATATAAATTTATTTTATTTCTAAAGAAAATTACCACAGATATCAAAGGACCCATAAATATGGTTCTGTAAATGTTTTACATGGATTTTTACATCTTTGCAGCCAACGATGATTGACTATACTTATGTCTTGACACACATTAAGTATAGCTTATTTTTTTTCCCCTACCTTAAAAACAGCGACAGCATACAGGCACACTGTCCACAACTCTTGACTTAGAAGGACTTGTTCACTAAGACCTAGGAGCTTGCTTGTAGACTGTTGTAGAGAACTTAGTAATAGAGCCAGCTAAAAACCTATTTAATTTGTGGTCTATTTAGTTTGTCGAATGAGAAGATGGAACACATTTTCTTTAGTAAAATATAGATCATTTTTATCTGTCATCTCAGGTAACCAAGCTTAAAGAACTTATCCAGACAATGATATTCCATTAATGTCACTATTACAGACTGCCCTGTACACTACCTAGCAAATGGTAGACTCTCAATAAATATTTATTGTATAAACCAAAAAATAAGTAACTTGCTAAGAGTTTTCAAAGAATAGCAATTTTTGTTTTACTTTAGAAATAATAAAGATTTCTGCACTGTTGGAGTAAGTGGCTCTCTGAGACACCTGGGTGATTGAATAAAAGTATTAATATTTACATGTAAGCTCCAGAGGTGAAAACGTTTTTATACATTATCTATTCAGTTGGCTATTTTAGACAGTAATAATTGAAGCTGTGAGTTGTTCTCCCAGCAAGTCAGCAGTTGCTTGCTAAGATATAAAATACGTTTTAAGGAACCCTAACATACAAAACAGATAATGCTGCACTGATTTATCAGATAAATCACTTTTCTTTGAGACAATTTAATTCCTTCTATGAAGGATGAAGACTCTGGAGACTAATACATTCTATAATGTATAAGTTTGTTTTTAATTCACAGAATTTCTATGTAATTTTTAGAGAATTAGGTATAATTTATGCTCTGTTCTTAGATTTTGCATGTTTGTTTTTGAAATCTGACTTTCAGGAAGAACGACAAAAAACAGCAGGCAATGGCTGGTTTGGTATGAAAGCTCCAGAATTGACAAATGAACTGAAAAACGATCTCAAAGCACTGAAGATGAGAGCTAGTATGGACCCAAAACGGTTTTACAAGAAAAATGATAGAGACGGCTTCCCCAAGTACTTCCAGGTGTGATGCAAAAGAGTAATTATTGATCTTCTGTCATTTTACTTTGGGAAGCACTATGGTGATCTTTTTGTTCATTATTAAAATAGATAAATATTTACAATGCATATACCTAAGGTTTGGACCTTATGTGCTTAGGCCATATAGTAATGGCCAGAACCCAATTCATATAACCACCACCTTATAATGAGTTTCCATATAGAAGGATGGTGTTACAAATGATAACTGGGATCAGTTCTCTAAAACTTAACCTGTAAGTTGGTTGGTTGTACCATACACAGATAGTACTGGTTTGGTAGCAAGAACCCATTCAGGATGGAGGAGGAAAGAGGGCATTATTTATACCAATCCCTTCCTCTTTTCAAGGTATTGAGGCATCACCAGGCAAATTCTGAAAATAGTTAAAATGTTGGTTTTCAAAGTTTTTAGATAAAAGACTAGTAGATGCATCCTCTGGAATTTCTCAAATTCATGTCATTCTTCTGACTGCTTTCTTACAATGCATCTGTAATCCTTCGCACTCCCCTTCAAATTCATCTTCCATGTTGGAACCAGTCTTTTATTTAAGGAAAAAAAGAAAAATCTGTTCCTGTTACACCTCTGCTCAGAAACCTTCAATGATTTTTTTGTGACCCATAGGATAGAGTATATACCCCTTAGTGTGGGGCCCTTCATAATCTGCACCTAACCCAGGTTACCAGCCTTCTCTTGTCATATATGCCTTTCAAACTCCAAAATACTCAGCTACTCAGTCTTCTCGAAACAAGTACTTAGCAGTCTTTGTATTCTTTGATTTTGCTTGTGTGTAGCTCTCCCTTATTCACCTTATTCGCTTGGTGAAATTTTACTTATCCAAATTCAAGTTAAAATGTCATCCTTTGTGAAACCTTCCCTGCTTCTCTGAGGTAGAGTTGGGTTAGTCTTCTGAACATCTATCTATGCTGCTTTGTTTAGCATATTATGTTGTACTTTAATTTTTCAGTTACCTGTCCAATGATCTTTCTTAAGACTAGACTCCTCCTTCTCCCTGGCAGGAACCAGTTATTTTCTCTGTTTCCTTAAAACTTCGTACAATGCCTTGCACATAATACTAAAACCAAACCCACTGCCATTGAGTCAGTTCCAACTCATAGCAACCCGATTGGGTTTCCACAGTAAATCTTTATGGAAGTAGATTACCCATCTTCCTTCCATGGAGTGGCTGATGGGTTTGAACCACCATCCTTATGGTTAGCAGTTAAATACCTTAGGCACTGTGCCACCAGAGCTGCTTTTGCACATACTAGGCACTCTGTAAATTTTAATCAGTTGACTGCACAAACACAAAGTCATCACTAGTTAGATCTTAAACTGGCAGCATTCATGACAACCTGGGAGATAAAATAGGGTAGTAGAATTTATGTGTACTTCATTGAGTTGGGAAGCTAAGCAAAAAAGTGTATAGATCTGTCCTACTTTTCTATTTATACTATTTATCAAGAATTTACTATTTAGCATTATCATATAAAAGGAATCTTGAGTCTACTATATACGCAAATGAAGTGGAGTAGAACCAGTGTGCTGATTGGGTAAGTGATTTATTTTTGGTTAAAAAAGGCATTCAAACTAAATTTAATACGGGTATAAAGTGAACTCATGTTTTCCATTCCTTTCTATACATGTATGTTAGAGGTACCCTGAAATATGAAAACAACCTGGCATCCAGATTTTGCATGATTTATTTTAATCAATTGTTCATAGATTGGAACCATTGTTGACAATCCTGCTGACTTCTACCATTCACGAATTCCCAAGAAAGAACGGAAAAGAACTATTGTGGAAGAACTGCTGGCTGATTCTGAGTTCAGAAAGTAAGAAATTTATTTTTTTTTATTATGTAATATGTATGCTTAAAAATATGCACACTTTTAAAATTTCAAATCATTGTAAATGCTTTACAGTAGAGTTTCTCAGCACTGTCTCAATTATTGATATTTTGGATCAGATAATTCTTTGTTAGGGGAGACTGTAATGTGCATCATAGGATGTTAACATACCTAGCCTTATATTCCAGTAGTACACACTCCCACCCTCAGTCATCAAATCAACACAAATACCTTCAGATATTCCCAAATGTCCCTTGAGGGGTAGAAGCACTCCCAGTTGAGAATCATTGCTTTAGAGGGAACTTCAAAATATAAAATAAACTGAGTAAAGGAGCCTGCAAAGGAGACTGGAAAGCAATAGCCAAGGGGCCTTTAAGAAAACCAGGAGGGCTCGGTGTCAAAAGTCAAGGAAAGAATATTACAAATAGAATGGAGTGTTTAACAAGGATAAATGCTGGTGAGATGTCAAACAAGATAAAGACTAAAACGCCCTTTGGGTTTATTTAACACAGAGGTCACTGTAGCTTTGGCAAATACGGTTACAGGGTAGTGAGTGGGAAGAAGTCAGAACACAGGGCCATGGGGGTGAGTTGGAAATGGAAACAACTCTTTGAAGTTTGGTTGTGAAGGGGAATAGAGGGCTAGTGGGTATGGATTTGGAGGGTTTTTAAGATAGGAGAAATCTAAGTTATGTTTAAATGTCCTTGAAGCAGCTGAATATATATGTAAGATTTAAAAGCATACCTCATACAGAAGAAGTCTGCTGACTTTCCACCTGATTTCATAGCAGATATGAAAATATTTCTCAAGGATTTTAAGCATAACATAGTTTGTATCACATGAGGAACATACTTAGCTTAGATTATGTAAGCTATTTAATGAATCTGAGTAATGGTAAAAATTTTAGAAACAAACAGTCCCCTTTTACTACTCGATATTCTCTCCTTGGAAGTCTCACCTTCAGAGGGCTTTAATTGTAATCTAGGTAATGTTGAGTTCCAAATGCATATTTCTAGTCCAAGCCCATGTATCCAGCTGCATCAGGAACATCAAAAACACCTCAAACATGGCATATCTAAGAGTTAACTTGTGGTCTTTCCTGACCCATCCTCCCAGTAAAACCTAGTCCTCTCCCAGTGCTCTGTATCTCCGTGACTGAATGGCACCATCCATTCATTGGGGCAGATCCTTGACATCCACTTCTCCCTTAAAATCCCATATTCAGAATGTCACAGCATCTCTCCAAGTTTCCTAAATGTCTCTCAAGCCTATCTCTTTCTGTCCATCACCACAGAGGTGTGCTGCAAGCTGATTGAGTCTTGGCTTACCTAAGTGTTGACCGTATATTATAGATAAAAATTTACTTATATTTTGTAATCTTCAGTGATGGGCATTCTAACAAATTTATCACAATGTGGATGGTGCTTTCACACAAAAAAATAATAATCTCAGAATAAGGAATTGGGGACAATAAACTAGAAATGTAATAGAATGGAACTCATAGAAGTGTAGGTAAAGGACATCTGTGAGTTCATTGTTTCCAATACTTCAGTAACTTTATTATCACTTTCCCAAGTGTTTGCATTATCTATATGTCACTCCTTGGAAGAAAGGTTGGGCAATCTACTTCCGTAGTGATACCGCCTCAAAAACCCAAGAAGGGGTCACTATGAGTTGGGTCCCGCTTGATGGCACATAACAACAACATACACCGTCTCACCTTACAGGAAACTAACTCATGAGGGATTGCCCTGTTTGCAGAACTCCTGTATATCATGCTCACTTGACTTGTATAAAATATGGTACTTTGTTTTAAAAGGAAACTTCATGAGTTTGTTCTACTTATATTTTTTTCTAGTATACTTTATATTTCTCCCATCTTAAAAACCCTCCAAATCCATACCCACTAGCCCTGCCTCTCTCTTCCCCTTCACAACCAAACTTCAAAGAGTTGTCTCCATTTCCATAACTTAAAATGAATAGTCTTTTCCTCCTAAATTTACCACATTCTGTTGTAATGTTATAAAGGCTTTAAATAGCTTCTGTTCTAAAGAGGCTGCTAGTTAATCCTTAGCCTTGGTAATGTGATACCAGATTTGAGTTTATATATATGAGTGAAAGCTCTAGAATATAGGCATTTTATATCTTTAGAGAGTTTTTAACTTTTTCTAATTAACTCTGTACTGACAGCCCTGCTTTTGTTGCAAAAGCTTCTAGCTACTGAATTGCTATTTTTCTGCAATAAATTTTACTTCTGTATTTCCAGAATCCAAGGGGGAAATACAGTCTATAACACAATTCTCTTTTCTCTGGATACCTTTGTACTCTTAAAAATTATTAAAGACCTTAAGAGGCTGTATGTTCCTGGATTACATCTACTGATATTTACCATAGTGGAAATGAATACTAAGAAACTTTTTTAATTTTTATTAATTCATTTTAAAATAATAAGGCCATCACATATTAACATAAATACATATTTCTCAGAAAATAACAGAACAGTAATTAGTGAAAATTTCTTTAATGTGTGACTTAATTAAAGAGAGTTGGAGCCCTCCATCTGTTTTGCATTCAGCCTGCTGGAAGACACGTAGCCTCTGGAAGACTTCACTGTGCACTCGTGAGAGAATGAGAGTGAAAAGGGCAACTGATGACTTAGTGTTACTGTGAAAGTAGTTTTTACCTAATGAACCCTTGGAGGGTCTTGTTCCTGGACCATATTTTTAAAACCACTGGTTTTACACAGAAGGAAGATGGGAAAGATTTACTGCCTCGGATACGCAATGGGGGTCACTATGAGTGGGAATCTACTTGATGGCAGTGGGGCGGGTGTATGTTATGTTTGTTAAAATTATAAGCAATATATATTCTGTCATGTTTTCAAGTAAGTATAAGCTTTTTGCTTTGCTTGGTCCTTATTTTTATCCTACAAAAATTGTTTAAAGCATTAGATAGTGTCTGGTAGCTCTGTTGTTCAACAGATACAATACATGGGTCTCTAATATCTGAAAGTGTTCAGAAATCCTCCAACTACAGTTGCCATATTTTTCTCACTGGACACAGTGAGGCAGGCTCCATAAAGGCAAGATCTGTAGCTGTCTTGTCCACTACTCTGTTCCCAACTCCATATGGCTCCTGACACATGGTGGCAACTTAATATATATGTGATGGAGTAGATAATGAAAATATAAAGAATTTTGCTATTTAAAAGCTCCCAAAAAGTTTATATTACTTTCTTCTTAATGTCTGATGTGCCATACTTTAGAGCTTAAAGGTTTAATTTTTTTTTTTTTCAGATACAATCGAAGGAAATACTCAGAGATCATGGCTGAAAAAGCAGCAAATGCAGCAGGAAAAAAGTTTCGAAAGAAGAAGAAATTTCGCAATTAGATTCATTAAGCAAACCATGATATTTTATGTCTCCCCTTTATTTATTTACTAAAAATACTTTGAAAACTAATCCCATCGCATAAATTAGACTGGCCCCGTTTATATAGGGATTTCTGCTTGAAAAAGAGTAGATCTGAGACTGAAGCATGTGACCTTCAGAATAAATAAGCAGAAAAAAAGAGCCACCTGGGCTTAATATTTTCAAGGGGAATAAAAGGAAAAGGAACCTCAACCATCTGAAGATAATTAATATTTTTGTAACGTTTTCAACTTTTGGTGGTTAAAGATAATTAAAAGATATTTCAAAATAGGAAGTTTGCTAATGTGTTCAGAGAACTTTAAACAATCTAATCAAAGATATAGAAACAATATTAGAATTAATACATAGTTTTTTTGTGTGTGGGTGTGTGTATGTATATGCTCCCCAAGGGAGGAGGTGTTGGACAGGAATTACCCTGTAGTCACCTGTAAGATTAGATCCAGAAAGTTGGTGTGGATGGGATATAGAGATTTTGTTACCTGTACAAAAGTAATAGTTGAAACCAAAGGAATGTTAAAAGTGTTCTTGGAGCCAAAACCAAACTCGCTGCCATTGAGTTGGACCCGACTCATAGCAACCTCTCCTTGGGTTTCTGAGGCAGTATCACTATGGAACTAGATTGCCCAATCTTCCTTGGAAGGAGTGGCTGGTGGGTTTGAACTGCCAGCCTTCTAGTTAGCAGTCAAATACCTGAGGCACTACACCACCAGAGATCCCACATTAGCCATTGTTGTTATGTGCTGTCAAGTAGGACCTAACTCATAGCAACCCCTCCTTGGGTTTCTGAGGCAGTATGTCTATGGAAGTAGACCGCCCAACCCTCCTGAGGAGCAGCTGGTGGATTCAAACTGCCAGGCTTCTGGTTAACAGTCAAGTCCCTTAGGCACTACAGCACCAGAGCTCCTTTACAAAGATAAGAAGTGTTTATTATTAAAAATTCCAATCATTACAAATAGGTATGAAGTAAAAAGGAAAGCTCTCTCCCTTCACACCACTGCTTCCACCCACCCCAGCACTCCCCCACAGTAACCACTGTTAACCACTGGTATGTCCTTCCACAAATTTTTTGAGCTTACACAATCATAAGAATATGTTATGCTTATAATATATATTAAAGTAAATATACAGTATGGATTATACCTCAACATAATGTAAAAAATCCTTACAATAAGCAGCATGATAAATGCAAAAACCAGTGAAGTCAAAAATTTCATTGCATTTGGATCCACAATCAACGTCCATGGAAACAGCAGTCAAGAAATCAAATGACATGTAGCGTGGAGCAAATTTGCTGCAAAAGACCTCTTCAAAGAGTTAAAAAGCCAAGTTGTCACTTTGAGGACTAAGGTGCACCTGACCCAAGTCATGTTGTTTCAGTTGTCTCATATGCGTGCAAAAACTAGACAATGAAAGAACTGATGCCTCTGAATTACAGTGTTTGCAAAGAAGGCGGAATACACCATGGACAGCCTGAAGAACAAACAAATCAGCCAGAACGCTCTTTAGAAGTGCGGATGGCAAGATTTAGTCTCAGACTTTGGGTAAGTTATCAGAGGAACCAGTTCCTGGAGAAGGATATCATTCTTGGTAAGGTAGAAAATCCAGTGCCATTGAATCGATTCTGACTCATAGTAACTCCCATTGAGTTTCCAAGTCTGTAATCTTTATGGAAGTAGATTGCCTCATTTTCCTCCCATGAAGTAGCTGGTGAGTTGAACCACTAATCTGGTTAGCAGCCAATTATCTTACCCACTATGCCACTAGAACTCCTTTGGTAAGGCAGAGGGTCAACAAAAGAGACGACCATCAGGATTGACACCGTGGCTGCAACAATGGGTTCAAACAGTAATAACTGTGAGACTGGTGCAAGACCAGGTAGTGCTTCATTCTGTTGTACCTAGGGGCCCTGTGAGTCGGAATCTACTCAACAGCACCTGATAACAACAAAAACACATGTTAAAAGTGTTTTAACGTCATTAGCATACATTAACATGATGAAGACTAACGTTTTGTTCATATGATAACATTTAATATGAATGTAATCAATCATATTCTATGTATCAAGGTTTTTCCTGTAATAAATACATTTTGGACATCTTTCCATAGCAATATATACAATAAAACCTGCAAAAGCTGGAACCTATGTAAGATGGAAACCTGTCAGAGAAGAAAAACTCAAAATATTTCCTACTAATTGAGAGTGACAAAAAAGTGCTAAGAGGGGCTTTTCAAAAGCAGAAAACTTGTAAGACCCAGAAAAACAAGACAGACCTATCAAGTTTTGGCTCTCATAGGTTTGACTGTATCTGTATGTGTTTGTGTGTTGCAGTGAATTACTTGGTATGGCTTTTCTAGCCATAGTCTTTATAACTCCTACTGAATTACTGAGTGGTGGTTGTTGTTTGCCATCGAGTCAGACTCGCCTCATAGCGTCCCCACCTTGGGTTTCTGAGGCACTATCACTATGGAAGTAGATTGCTCAATCTTCCTTCCGAGGAGTGGCTGGTGGGTTTGAACCACCAGCCTTCTGGATTACTGAATCCAGACCTTTGAAGAGGTCTTTTGCACCAGAGCTCCAGGATTACTGGGT